AGTTTTTCAGTCTCATTGACAGAGCGGACTGTAGAGCTGTGCCCCGTCGAGTGAGGCCAGTCACTGTTGAATTCTCTAACCCTAAATCACCAGGAACGAGGATCCCAACAGCACAAAGAGGGTGAAAAGACGTGCTTTCTTGGAAATTCATCCCTCCTTTTCACAAAGTTTTCTTTCCAGTGTTCCTGCAACCCTTCATGTCCAGCTGAGCAGAGGAAGGGGAAGAATAATTTTCTCCATAACAAGAAAAAACAACGTTTAATACTATCATGGGCTAACCAAAACCCAGAGTGATGGGAATAAGTGGGATGGATGTCTCCACAAAAGAGCATTGCATCTTCAGGCCTCCAAACACACCTCTCTGTAGGAAACACCAGGGCTTAAGTGGAATTACAGTGTTTGAACATATGCTGCATTTTTGCATATAAATAGGATGAAAAAATACACAATGACAGTGGGATAAGAATGGTCTTCAGTAGCCAAGCAATAGTTTGCTAGCCATTGGTAATGTGAATAGGCTGATCTGCTGATTAAGTTCTGTTCCATTTTTTTTTTTTTTTTAAGCAGAAAACTTAACTTGCATTTATTTTATTTCTTAGGACCTAGTTTGGTCTCATTTGTATTGACTAAAAATTTCATTTTGTGGAAATGTTGAACCAAGCCCACTTTCAGGTACATGAGTGATATCAAAAATACCGTATCAAAAACAAATAATGGTGAGGATAGAGGCTGGTAAAACCATCTGTACTGTTCTCTGTTCTTTAGAAACTGATATTTTACTTTCAAATTATAGCAGAAAAAATGTCCTATGTATCAGCACAAGCAAAAAAGTGCTTGATGCCTCATAAGACACTACTCATAAGTAATTATAATTGCACACAGATGAACATCTATCAAAGTTGTGCACAGAAATTTCCTATGCAAACTTTGCATTTACTGGCAAAAAACAACCCACTTATGAGCTAACAGAAGAAACACATGAATAAATGACATATGCATGTACAGTCAATATCTGTATGCAAATACCATGCATACACTTACTTTCCAATACCCAGCCCCAAAGTGTTGCCAAAACTGGAAGCATCAGGATGAAGGTAGGCTATAAAACACTCAAGATCAAATTTTGTCTGTTAATCACTTTCCTCAGTCCAGACTCAGTAAGCAGACAAGCAGTTCCACATGTTTGACCTTGCCTTCCTCACTAAAACAAAATCCTAACAAGATGATGCCAATTTGCTCCCTATGTCAACTCGTGTGGTAATTTTCATACCATGTCCCTGGTTTACTAACAAGTGAGAACCACCACTGCCTTTGGAGAGGCTAATATGAAGCCAGCTGAGTGTCCTCTGTCCAGATATTCCCATGTCCAAGTGTGATTAGCACTGTCTTGTCAAATTTAGCTCTAAGCCATTTGTGAACACCTTCTTTGTTTATAGTAGCACACACAAATCTGCACAGACTTCTGTGTTTGCTCTTCTGTATATCCTATTAACAGCGCATTACATTTCAAGAGCTCATACTGCAGAAAGCCACAAAAGCACTTTTAATCAATTTAAACCAAACCAAGTAAATTACTTTCATTCTGGATAAATACTGCTCGGTATACATTCTGAGAAAGCAAAATTGAGTTTTTAGTTCTGCCGCTGTAAATCCAGAGTGACTGCACAAGAATTATTTGTATCACATTTGAAATTGCTCAATTGTAATTATACAAAAATCTCTATAACAGTCAAACTGTGGCTAAACAGAATTGAACCCTGTAAATAGCCAGCTATAACCTGCTTGGAAAATGATATAAGGAAATAAAAAAAATCTATGACCTTGAGCAAAATTTTCAAGAATCTGGGAACTGATGGAATGCCTAGATAATTTTATTATTGCATAAGAGAGTAAATAAAACCATATAACAATATATTTCAGTTTTCATTCCATTGTAATATTAACAGAACAGTGTATTAGATCCAGACTCCCGGCCTTGTTATGATAAAGGCAATCTACTTATGTACATACAACCAAGAACAACCTTCATCTCAGGAGTTATACTTTTTTTTTTAAAAAAGTTGAAATACAAAAAAGCAGGAACTAAGGCATGGAAAGGAGAATACAGTTTTATCTAGATGAGTCAAGAATGCATGAGGAGACTGCCTCTATCAGACTCCACGTTGAATTCAGAACTATGCTTTCCACTACTATATGCAAAAAAAAAACATTTTTTAAGTGTGTTCCATCACTCCCATTTGGCCAACTGTTTGCTCAGCGGCTGTATGTAGCTCCTGCCTAGAGGTTTTAACACGATTAAACCATGGTTCAGATAGTAACTTACAAATGCACTGTTCCTCCTGCTTTGTGCACAAACTGAAGAAAAAAAAGACAGCCATGACAAAGACTCTTCTAGCCTTAATTTAACGATTTCTAGCCTATATTTCAAGGTCAGTGGGAAGATGGCAAAATGTTAGGGTTTGGGGTGGGGGGTTTTTTGTTGTTGTTGCTTTGTTTTGTTTTGTTTTCCCATGGTGTCAATAAGTTATTATTGCAAAGACAGACATTTGTATTTCTCTCAATAAACAGGACTGCATTACTAAACTATAAAGCCAAGAAGAGACATATAGTGTGAAAATATGCAGGGGAACAACAGCTGTTAGTCATTATTTTCTCCTTATCCTTTCAACACCTCTGTTACAGTTTGCTCTCTAATGGGTAAATCACACTTTCTCCCTAGGACATTTTCTCATTTCAGGCAGGTACTAAAAAGAATCCTGAGACAATTAAGAGTCATTGGTCAAAGACACCCCTTCTTTCCTTACTTTTACTGTAGATGTTGAAACTCATTTTTATGCTTTATCAAACAGATAAAGCTGATGTGCTCTCTTAGTCCTTTGTCATTACTAACGTGATGGAAAATGTTTCTGTTTTTCTTCTTTAGACAATGAACCTAGCCTCTGAGGGGTTTTTTTGGTGGTTTTTTGTTTTGTTTTGTTTTGTTTTGTTTTTCCTCTTACACAGCCTGTTATATTTCTTAAAAGAGAAATACCAACTACAAAAATTATTGTTCTCACTTCATTTAGGCAAAAGAAGAATCTACCATCAGACAGCTTTTAAACATCTGTTTTATGCTTTACCTCATCTGACAAGGTTTCATAGTAGCCATTTGGAAACAGAGGAAAAATAGATACAATTTTGCTTATGATCAAACTCAGCTTATTGCACAAACTACCTTGCTCTATTCTCCATTTCTTAACTGCAAAATGAATATTTACCAGGATTTTGAGCCTTTTGTTCACTCTGATTTTAATTAATCTGAGTCTAGGCCACAGTGAAAATGAGGTGGGAAAAAATGCAAACATCTGTAAACGTCACAGTGCAGCAAAATTACTCTGGAAATCTTATTATTTTAAATATTTGGCTCAGCCCTCATGTCCTACTAAGATGGGCTTTTCACTGTGAAATACATTTTTCTTTAATAGCTCCTAAAATCATAATAATTATCAATTTTTCCAAGCGGTCAAGTGGCAGAAACCTCTGAAATGACAGAATCCACCCACTGATGAAGTTGGAATGTGTCACACACAGCATGCGCAAGCTTAAATGCGTGCACTCTTCCATCCATTTCTCTTTTGAAGTAAGAGGTTGCTTTTCTTCAGAAAGGCAATTCAGTCTACATCTGGTTTTGACTTAAAGATCTCAAAAAAAATGCTATTAATGTAATGCTATTAATCTGATTACATTTCCCAAACAGCTTCTAATATGTAGTGTTTTTTACAACTGGTGCTGCTGAAAGTATTTAGTGAAAGATTGTGCTGAAGATGTTGCTGAGAAGGCACAAGCAACCTTCTATCTACTGCTGTTCTTGGGCAGTGCTAAGGTAGACACACTCCTTATGGCTACACTCAAAAAGGCAAAATATTATTCCAAAGAGTACAGAGCCTCAGTCTTTGTGGTGCCTCAGTAATGTGAGCCTTTAATGGGCCAATAAATTAGCTGGGTTTGAAGTGTGGCTTCAGCATCTAGCGCAGCTCGATCCCACCAACACTCCCAGCTTCCCCAGGGCTGATATTATTACTGTTTACTAGCTCTTATATACGATCACTCTGTTGTTTCTGTCCCCCCCTCACACGCATCAATGATTGAAATCTCAGAAAGAACAAGGGGGAAAAAAAAAATAAAAGTAGAAATAAAAATTAGCTCCCTTGGTACCGGGGAACATGGAAATGGTACGAGTTTGGCATAAAATCTTGTGCATGTAGCAACAGCACTTGATGCTGGCAGCAGAATGAAGTATCAGGACCCCATGAGAGAGAATAAAGGAAGACACGTTTCCTTTAGGGTAAAAATACATTATTAAAGAAAAAAAAATATTAAAGACAAAAAAACCCCACAAACAGCAAAACAAAAACTAAACTATGCTAAATAAGCAAGCAATGTTATCTTCGGGAGAATATGTGACGGAGCGTATAGGGGGGCGAGGCGTTATTTGTTAAGGACACCCCTAAGGAGCGTCATTTTCCCCACCCCCCCGAAGTGACATCCCTTTGTCCGTCCCTGCGCACCCGTCGGGGGCCACGGCCGTGGGCAGCGGCGGGCGCTACCGGCAGCGGCGTGGGGATGGGGCCTCCCTCCCTCCCTCCCCCCCCCCCCCCCCCCACGCCTCGCCATGCCGCTTGAGGGCATAAACAAACACGGTTTTAACAACAAAAGGCCGCGCTCGGGGCGGCTCGACCCCCGGTGCCGGGGCGGGACGGCGGCCCGGGCACGGCCCCGGTGCTGCCTCGCCTCGCCCCCCGCTCCGTTCCCACAGGGGCTACCCCGCCCCCCCGCCAGCAGCCATGTGTCTGCTCAAGTGCGATTAACACCGACCTGCCAAATCCTCGCCCCCCCCCCCCCTCCTCCTCCTCCTCCTCCTCCTCCTCCTCCTCGGGCCATTTGGGCCACGCACGCGTCCGCGCCCCGTGTTTACACGGCGGCGCCTTCGCGCGGAGTTTTTCCGTTGATGGCGCTGGCAAATGAGCCGGGGGAGGTGGGCTCCGCGGAGCGCAGCGCCCGCCGACGGCTATAAAACCCTCCGGGCCCGGGGCGGGCAGGGCCAGGCGGGTGGTTACGGACCGGCGGAGGATGGAGGGCGGCTGCCCCCGACCGCCCTCGGCGGCGGCGCTGCCCCCCCGGGGGTACTCGACCCTCTCCTCCTCCTCCTCCTCCTCCTCCTCCTCTTCCTCCCGGTGCGGGGCGCGGCCCGTCCCTGCCCTAACGGTCCTGCCCTCGCCACGCAGGTCCGCGCCCTTCTGGAGGCCGTGGGTGCCCGCGCAGAGCGAGGCCGGCCGGAGGAGCGGCCCCGGCGCGGTGAGTGGGGTGGAGGGGCTGGGTGCCCCCCCCCCCCCCCCCTCCGAGGGCTGGGTGCCCCCCCCCCCCCCCCCTCCGAGGGCTGGGTGCCCCCCCCCCCCCCCCTCCGAGGGCTGGGTGCCCCCCCCCCCCCCCCTCCGAGGGCTGGGTGCCCCCCCCCCCTCCGAGGGCTGATCTCTCCTCTCTCCCCCCCAGCCTCACGGCCCCTGCGGGCTGGTGGGAGCCTCCCGAAAACTGGCGCAGTACACGCACCCCGTCAGGTAAGTGGCTGCCCCCCCACGCCGCGCCGCCGTCGGCTCCCGTGGCGCGTTCCCGCGGCGTGGCGCGGCCGGGAGGGAGGGAGGGAAGAGTCCCCCCCGGCTCGGCTGTGTCCTGCCGGGCTGGCCACGCACTCGCTCCCCCGCCCCTTGTGTTCCCACCCATATATTTAAGTAGATATTAAAGTGCCTTCGGAGTGATGGAGCCACCCAAGTGCTTTTGAGGTCCTTGGGCAGGTGATTGCCGGCACTCGTGAATTTACCACATCTTTAAGATGAGATGTTGGCGTGCTTCCGTGGTGTGGTACTTGGACATGTTACACAGTCCTATAGAGGTTTTCTGGTGTTTGTTTGTTTTTTTGTTGTTTTTTTTTTTTTTGTTTGTTTGTTTGGGTTTTTTTGTTTTTTTTTTTTTTGTTTGTTTTTGTTTTTTGTTTTTTGTTTTTTTTTTTTTTTTTTGAATGAGAGCACCTTGCTACTCATTCCTGTGCCCAGGATGAAAACAGGGAGCGGGGTTGGCTCCCGGGCTGCGCCAGCCTCCGGTGTCCTCCGGCTGCGAGAAAGCAGGTGCCGGCATGGGAAAGCGTGGCAGGAGGAGAGGGTATGGGCTGGCTAAGCCAGCATTGCTGAGGAAAACACTCATGTAACTGCTGCTTTGATGTTGAAGGCAATGGGAGTATCTGCACCGTCAGTTCTGAAAGGGAAATAAAATAACTACAGTTGAATCTGCAGGAGAGTCTGTGTTCAGAAGTACTAGTGGGTGTTGCAGGGTGCTTAAAGTAATTGCACAGGTAGTCCTTCCAGACAGGGACGCAGCTTTTACCCAAGGCTAGGCTCTGATCCTTCAAATAGTGATGCGCAGACTAAGCAGTTGCACAGACCCGGACCTCCCCGTGACTGCCCGGGTTTTTAGGTGTGAGTAAATGCTGCAGGGAGCGCTGGCAATAGAGGGATGTTACAAAGCGAGCGTGGGTTACTTTGTGCTGCAAAAGAAGCAGCAGTCTGCTAAACAGTAGCTTAGAAAGCACTTTTTGTAACTGGTAGTAAACCTAGTTCTGTTTCTTAATCTATTTCTATTATAAACAACCTGTAGCCAGCGTTTTATTATATTGCAATGTGCTAGCCTGTTAGCTCTTGGGACTTCTATTGTCTGTTTCTTCCAGCTACTTCCAAATTGTAAGCAAAAGATGATGTTGGCTGAAAAGGGAAGAGGAACTGTGGAGTATATTATTTGCAATATATTTTCTCACTGGCTAATAGCCCTTCCTACACCAAGATATCATCAGCAATTTTTATGTTAATTTCTGAATACAACACAGACTACTTTAAAATCTAGACCCATGTGGCATCTTCTGTAAGGAGTCTGTTGGATGATTCTTCTTGAAAAGACAGGAGTTTGGGATGAAATATCAAGGTCTGATCCCCTTAGTTCTTTAACATTCTTTTTACTTTGAGATTTGCCTTAGACGATTGTAAACAATGTTAGGCTGGGGACCTTCAGTAACAAAACTACTAATTTAATCCAAATATATTGGGGATCCTGTTTGACCCCAATTGTATTCCCTAGGTGTAGTTCCAGTGAGGGCAGTATTATTTGGATCAGGTCCCCAGGTAATGCTGTTAATGAGGTACTGGAGTGTTAAGTTTCAGATGCAGTGGATCTTGCACTTTAGAGTAGTTTTGCTGCAAAACTAGCACTTCAAGAGCATCTTTATCCCTTCAGATGAAAATACAGAGTCCGGAGAATATTTTTTTTTTCTATTTAAATGTAGAAAGCAATTGAGCATGAGGGGGAAAACTCTGCAGGATGCTTGTCTTAACATAATTTCATTGCTGTTTCTTGTCTGTCAGCCTCCAAATAGAATATGTAATAACAATAAGCAAACCTATTGTATACTTTTTTCAGACTGTTTTGGCCCAAATCAAGGTGCTATGATTACTTATATCAGGAAGCTGAAGCACTTCTGAAAAACTTTCCAGTTCAAGCTACAATTTCCTTTTATGAAGACTCAGATAGCGAAGATGATGATGATGAACTGGAACAAGAGTCAAGAACAGAATCAGACTGCTGATTGCAGGAAAGGCCAATGCAACTTTTAAGACTTAATTTATACTTAATATAAAAATGTATTATAGTATTTTTAAAGATAATTTATTTGTATGTAAGTTATTCTTAATAAAACTGAAGTGTCCTGTAATTTTACCTAAGCCTTTTTCCTTCATTCTATTCCTGTCCTGTTTTGGGCAGGGAAAGCATTGATTAGTATATTTTTTTTAATCTGAGGTCCTATATTTTGTGGACTGTAACTTAGAGATCAATTTTAGGAGCAGAGAATGGATGCCTTTCTTTGAAGGGCTCTATGGTTATGTGACTTTCTTGAAGTTTAGTGGGCTCAGTGTGGAAGCACATCAGGGAATTGTTGGATTAAGTATTCTAATGTTGTGCCTGCTGTTACAATGGAGCTTGAAACACGGAAAAGCTAAATTATATAGCTGTTTTCCAGATGGAGAGAAGGGTCCAAATTCTACTCTAGTTTTTGTTTTCAAAGAAGGGGTTTGTCTGAAGTCACTCATGCTGTCGTGTGCATGAGCTCTGTTATGTATAAGTACAGTATGCAATCATCAGTTTTGTTTGTAAAGTGGACATCAAGAAATGAGAAAAAGGTCTAATGTGAGTTGGTTTTGATTGCAAGCTTGTTTTTTGGGAATGGAAGCAAAGCTTGGTGCCAACCATCACGCAGGCCAAAGCCCCTAAAGTAAAAAAAAAAAAAAAAAAAATCCAAAACTTTAATTGAAAGGCCAGTGCCTCAGTCAGATAAAGCTTGTGCACCTGAGCCTTATCCTCGCTGTGTGCTGCTGGGGGGGGGGCTCACCTTGCCCACAGCCGCGCCCCGGAGCGCCTGCTGGAAGGAGCGGGACCCCGCCCGCAGCCCCTCTCTCCGTTTCGGGGCGGGGGTACCGGCAGCAGCCCCCCCCCCCCCACCGTCACCGTGCCCGGGCCGCCACCGGCGCCTCCTCCCTCCCTCCCTCCCGCCGCGCCTGCGCGCTGTGCCGCAGCGCTCCGCCCGCCGGGGCGCAGGCCGCGGCCCGGGCCCCCAGGATGCTGAACGTGCCGCCTCAGGCCTTCCCCGCGCCCGCCTCCCAGCAGCGGGTGGCGGCGGGCGGCCGCGCCAAGGTAAGGGACGGCCTGGCCGCCGCCCCGGGGCTGAGGGGCCCTGCCGCAGGCCCCGGGCCGGTGGGGTCGGAGCTTTTTCCCGGGCTGGGTTTCGCCCGGCTGCGCGGCCTGGCCGCCTCCCGGCGGAGTTTGCCGTGGCTTGCCGGTGGGGTCCCGGTTGCGGGTGGGGCTGGGCTGCCGCCGGGCGCTTCCCTCGAGAGGTCTCGTACTCCAGCAGCCGCCGGCTGGGGCAGGGGGCTGGGGCCCGGCTCTGCCGCCTGGCTGAAAAATATTTCGTACTTCTCGTTTTAGCGGGCGGGCGGGCGGGGATAAGGGTTCCTGCTCTGCCTTCCCGGGCCGCCCGGGGCTGCCTCCCGTGCAGAGACGGAGGCTTTCAGCTTGAAATTACAGCGCGCAGCTGGTGCTTTATGTGTCGGTTCTTCGTCGCTGGAGTGGTGGTGGGGGGGGGCGTTTGGTGTCTGCAAACCTCACTTGGAAAGCAAACTCGTACTTAAGACTCAAGTCCTGTCAAGTGATGTGGGCCTACGTGCTCTTTAGTTTTCTCGCTTCTGTTTGTGCTGTGGTTTTGTAGGACCGCGGTTCTTTAACCCTGTCCCCTGCTGTTAGAGTTTGGATCAGAGGGGTTCCCAGTCTGCGGTGCTGTCGAAAAGGAAGGTGCTAGGCACCCTGAAGATCTTGCTCTGCCTTTCAGGGCAGGAGGCCGTGGCTAATACATCCCTGGTAAGCTGGAAGGCTTCAGTCCCAGCTTTTTCTGGATGAGATTTTTCAGTCGCTATAGGGCTTACGGAAAGTCTGTATGAGTGTTGTGAATGTGAACTTGCCTACCTTGTCTTACCTGGCCATGATTTTCAAATTTCTCATCTTTGTTGCTCATAGGTTTCCAGACCATATCTCAAATGATGCTGATAAAATCGTTTTAGCACCACAGGAGGACCTGGTGTCTGCAGTGTGCTTTGGGAAGAGTCACCTAAATGTTTGCAGACGTTCAATAATTCCCTTGTCTGGGTCGCTAGATAAGATGCTTCCTTAAGCACCCTTACTCCTGAGTAGGGCTTCCAAATATCAGTGAAGAATAGGAGTTTTGTTATTTCTTGTGTTGTCTAAGCCCTCCCAGGGGGCTTAGAAAAGTGTACTGAATGGCTTTTTCTTCCTTTAGAATTCAATAATGCTTGTATTTGTACGTTTGTTATTTTTCAGGTACCTTTAAAACCAGGAAGGAGTCTTATGGATTGGATTCGACTAACTAAAAGTGGGAAGGATCTGACTGGTTTAAAAGGGAGGCTAATTGAAGTGACTGAAGATGAGCTTGCTAAACACAACAAAAAGGAGGACTGCTGGATATGTATAAGAGGTTGGTTGCTGTGATGTTGCTTCTACATTTTTTTTGCCTAGCTTCTCTCTTCTGTGCTTAAAGAGGAAGCAACAAAAACCAAACAACAACAAAAGCCACACCTCAGAACAAACTATGCACCTTATATGTTTAGGCCAGGTGTAATCTTGACATAACTGAGCACAGCTTTGTTCAAGTTAAGAGATTTTGTGCCACAAAGATTTTCTTTGCTTTCAAGTCTTAAGAAGTCTTCCAAGTGGCCATATTTTATGCCTAGTTTATATCTGCATATGAAAATAACGAAACACAAGCTTGTAGATGTTGCCTCAAATGACAAAAATAAGGCACTGGAAGTGCTAACGTGTATTTACACTCCTCAGTCTTAGAGAGTTTATATAAAAATAGCAGTTGACTATTTTTAGTGACTGCTTTGAAGCATCCAGAGACATAAATATTAAAAATGTTAAGCCTATAGAATGGTCTTTGGGAAATAAGTGTGCAAGACCACATATTATTTCATAAAACTTAGTAAGGCAAATTGACAGTCGCCACAGAGTGATTCTAATCTCTATGTAGCATAACAAATATCTGTGGTAGCTAAGCCATTCTATTTATGTTACTAGTTTTACGAAATTTTAGCTTAAAGGTTGAAAGTATTGTATGTTACAAGCTAAGAAAGTGTGAAAGGTGGTTTGGAGCAGTAGCCCTGGCTAGAAGAGTTTTTTCAGTGCTGAAGATGAAGTTCCTAGTTGTCTTACAGAAAGGAATAAAACGTTTGCTCTCCAGTTTAGTCATTTAGAGGCTGAAATACATGACTATCACCTTAAATTTGTTATGACATAGCAGCACTTCTATGAAGATTAAGAAGATCAGAGTAGCTAATATGACATTTCTCTAGGAAGAGGAGTTAATTTAGTGGTAACTTTGATCTGGTAAGGAGCAGCATTGGTAACTGATGTAATGTCATCTCTGAACTCCAGCAAAAGAGGGTTAAGAATTTCTCTGTGAGGATGACTGTATTTTTGTTGGGTGTTAAGGGGGATGAGAGTGAAAGTAAGGGCAAAATGTCACTCAGTACTGGCTTTTGAACAAAATAGTAGGATTGCTAATGCTCTGTGTGCTGCTCTTTGCACATGCTAGCAAAACTGTAGTGGGAACAGAGCTAAAGAAAGTGTTTTTACTATGGAAGTCAGTTCTTTTTTTTTTTCTCTCTCAAAAAGGGACATCTACTGCTGCAGACAGAATCACTGCTTAAAAATGCTTCTGTTTTGTTTTTAATCTCTTACTCCCCCTTGACTGCATCTCTGAGGTTGGTTTTGACAAGAACTCTGTCACGTTGCTTCTCTATCTGTCTTTAAATTTTTCCATCTCTGCCTTTTCTTTGTTTTAGAACTACTAGCAAAAAAAAACAGCATAGCTGAGAATCCTGGTAGATTATCTGTAGACCTGATATGTGGACAGGTAGTAAAATAACACCATTGTAGAAAAGCTAAATGATGTCTCCGCATTGGTAGTCAGACTGTGTCTCTATATGAAAGAGCAGAAATTGGTAAGAGGAATGTGAAGTAGAAGATTAAGAGCTAACTTGTTCAAAAACCCAGTGTGATAATCATCGAAGAAAGGTGTCATACAGGCCACAGATTATAAAAAAAAAAAAGCATGAAAGGTATATAAATGAGATTTCTTTTGCTCCTGCAAGTGTAGTGGTAAATTGGACATTTGGCTAATGTTTTAGGAGGTCCCGACTATGTAGATATTTACTTCCTTTTTGCTGTGTGCAGTAATCAGTGTTGCCCACAAGATGGCATAGTGAATACATCCATCAGAAGATCGGGTCAGTAAAATAAGGAAAGATCCTTCCTTCGTTGTCGGGCATAGTTCTTACCAACTGGGATTGTCCCACGTATATCTCCTCCCCACCCAGTGCTGAATGCCTACCTTCTCCTTCTGGAGTAATTAATGTACACTTTTTAATGTCTTAAAAGCTTCTTATGACAGCACTGGCACAGTTTCATTTCTGGTAGCTTCCTGTTTTGATAATGTTATATATCTTTAAATACTCTTCTAGGTAGGCCTGCAACAGTCCTTTTAACACCAATATGTCTGAAGTTAAATCCGTTTATAGCTGCATTCTCCAGGCTCTAATTACTCCGGTTGCATGACAACGATAATTAGACTTCATCATTTCAGACCTGTGAAGAAACGTGGTTTTATCTCCCTGGAAATACTAATAATAGTACTCATGTAGAAAGAATGCTGATCCCTTTTACTGGGACAAATTTGATACCAGAGTTGTAAGCCTTTAATAGGCATAGGCTATGTTAAGTTTTTTAAATTGCTGAATCTGAAGAATGGAAGTTTTGTTGCTGATGATAGCAGTTCTTCCTTATGGAAGACAGTTCATTCCCATAGGCATTTTATTCTGTAGGTGATGGGTGGTAGGAAACAACTATGACAGCACTTCAGGGGTAACTTAATTGAAAGGGAGAATGAAAACAATTCTGTGCACTAACTGGCTCAATTTTATGTGTCTGTTTAAACCAGCCTCTGGTTCTTTTACCCCCTAGCTGTGGTACATCATGTTCAACTTCAAGGGCGAACCCTCCAGGTTTCTTCAGACATGCACTGGGACAAGTTGTATGGCATTGTAAGATTGGCATCTCTATGTAATAAGATACAACTTGTGCTCTGTAAGATTGTGTAGCTTATGTTTCTGTTTTTGTGGAGTCATACTATTTGTTCCAGTGATGTCTACTGTTTGCCATAAAACTGTTTAATAGACACTAACCTTTCTGCTGCTTTTGGAGATAAGAGTGGTTGTAGAAATGCTGCTCACATGTTTTCATATTCTGTTTTCTTCAGGATTTGTATATAATGTGACACCGTACATGGAATATCATCCTGGTGGTGAGGATGAACTAATGAAAGCGGCAGGAACTGATGGTACAGATCTCTTTGATCAGGTGAGAACAACTGGCTGCGAATGACACTTGCTCACCAAAAAGTAGCTTGAAAAATACATGTTTTCTCATTATTTTTAGGGCATTCCAGTGGAAATGGTGATTTCTCAGGCCTAGGGAACGGTAATGGGTTACTGCTTAGAATGGCACTTATGTGTGCTGAGAGGCATGTAGTTTTAACTTTGTACCAAAAGACAATAATGAAAATACTTTATGTTGTTGGAATGATGCTTCAATTTTACCATTTTATTAAATTATTTTTTTAGCAGAAATAGCAATAAAGCTATCAAGAACTTGAGATAACACCTTCTTAAATCGCCACAGTGAATAATTGCTGTTGCTTAAAAGGCATTTGCTTCTCAGAACTTTCACTTTTTGAAAAATGCTTGTAGTATTCTTTTGTCTATTACCTTGGCTGCTGCATTATCAGCTAACAAAGCACTGAATAAAAAATGTTGCGGCTGCTATTAACTGATTGTGAACAAATCACAAGATGACAGCAGGTCCCTTCTTTGTTTAGCATTTCTTTAAATGTTTTGAAAAGACTTAGAAAATAAAGGGTCTGCAGAATGGCTGTGCTTTCTGTAAGGAATTGCTTGCAAACCTGGTGCTGTAAAAGATGATTCACTGAGTTGGTGGTTTTCAGAAACAGGCATTTGTTGAGTCTCCTTGTCTCACAAGGTTTGTCTGAGAAATTGGGGACGAGCAGAAAGGGAACTTCCCCTATTTCTGAAAGGAAATCTGTTACCTCTTTACAGTTCGTTCGTTCATCACAGTATGTTATGCCTTTATTTGCAAAGTGTTTTTAACAATGAATGTAAATAAAGATGTGATGATATTTTAGCTGTGTTAAATGTATCTTTGGTTAATTCTTTCACAAATTAAGTGTTGGATTTGTGCATAATTCTCTAGTTTCAAGAATTTTGGAACTTCTCTCCTAAAAGTTTGTCCAGTATCAACTGTGGCCTGGAATTCTGTAGCTGGGTCACTGTCAAGTATTTTATGATGTGCTGGGAAAGGAGAGTCTTGACATCAGGCATATTTATGGAAGCCTCTCAAGTTGTTACTAAGTTCAGATACATACTTGCTCCTTTTTTTTTTTTTTTTTAAATTCGTTTTGTCAGTGGAAAGCAGTGTTCAGATCCTTAAAATATGCTGTTCACATTTTTGCTTCTGGCTGATGTCTTTCCTGTTCTAGAGGAATTTCCGTTGTTATCCCCTCTGCTTTAGCATTCTGTGTCTGTCAGATACTGATTGATACTGATTTCTTGAAGAGTTTGGTAGGTTGCTAGTGTTTCTCAAATTTCTGGAAAAATTAACTGTCATTCAAAATCCTTCATTTCTTTCTTTTATCTGTATATGAGGAAACTACAACTTGTGGATGGGATTCTTTATGTTGTCTTCTTAGCTTGTCCAGTTTAAAGTTTTCATTTTTAAATCTCTACCTACCATTCAAATTTGTCATGAATCAATTTGTTTCCTTTTGTCTTCTTGTGATGTTACCCTGGATCCCGTGTCAGAATTGGCTTTTCTGCCTTCCATTTCTTCTGCAAGTTCTCTAGTTCTGGTCTGTAAAGCTACTGCTTTTTCTCCACTTTATTTAACTTTCTAAAATAGGTAAATTCCAGATAATTCAGTGATAATAAGACAGAAATAAACAGAAATACACCAACTTGGTAGGAGGTGTTTGTGTGTCTAAACTACTATTCTGTATATTTGTTTCCTTCATCCCTTTTCCCTTTATTTGTATCTAAACAAGACTAATTACCCTTGTGGTAAGTACCAGGTCTTTATTCTGTTAATTGCGTAGCATACATCATAAAAATGCTCCTCTGAAATATTTTCTGTAGCTCAAGGTTATGATGTTCAGATACTGCAAAGCATAACGTGAGTAAATTAAGCTTTTGTCACTTTTTCATGGTCCTGTTTTTTTCACTTAATTACATGCTATGTGTAATGGAAGTAAAAATAAGTATCAAACAAGGCAATAATGAGTGTCTGTGTTTAAAATAAAAAATCTGCTAAATTAATTACATTAGCCACTGTACAAGTCAACTTTTAAATTTCAATGCATTGGACAATAGTAAGAGTTATAAATTATGTGAAAATGTATTTTTAATATAGGTTCATCGCTGGGTCAATTATGAATCGATGCTGAAGGAATGTCTTGTTGGGAGAATGGCTGTCAAGCCCATTGCTGCTCCAAAAGGTGAGGTTTTTAAGAATGAAATCATTTCTGTTATTCTTTATTCCAAAGTTATCTGGAAATCATGAGAAATCCTAAATCATTGTATTTATGAGAGTCTCTATTCTTGCATGGAGATGAAGGCTGTTGCTTATATTCAGTCTTTATGGCAGATATCTGAAGATGAAACTGTTTTATGCATGAAGACTTGTATGAGTAATGTAGTGCTACATTTCTTTTGTTTTTAGTCATCACAAACCAGATGTGTGTTACGTGCATATGAATATAGAAATAAATATTCTTTTTCCCCCCAAGATCTCTTTTTATTCTTCTGATCCCAGAGGACAAACTGTCATAGGCAGTGCTCTCATCTTGAAATAAAAGTCAGTATTTTCAATCTGGTGATTTCGGCACCAGACGTAGGTCTGGCAAATTGCATACATTTTGAGATATCAAATACAAGTTATGGACAGCCTTTCCAGAACACTTTACGGGGTCCTTTAGTTTGAATTTACATGGAGAAAATTTTGATGATACAACAGACTCCTCTGAGCCAGGACAGCAAGACATGTAGTATATTGTCTTAAATGCTGATGATACTTTCTAGAGACTTTAATCTTCAGTATTTGTTTTGGTTTATAGGCCACAGCAAAAGTTTCCCAACCCTGGGAAGCAGACACTGTTACTAAATATTGACCCTTAGCAAAACTGCAGTGACAACATGGAAGAATTAATGGTTGCAACCATTTCTCTCAAATTCTGTGGTGTCCTTTAGTTCACAAATTCAGCCATCTCTTGTAGCTCTTCAGCTTCTGGCAAGGTGCACTGCGTACTTGCTTAGTGCTTATATCACGTCGCCTAACAGTTAGGTTGAGTTCAGCCTGTACATGAAGGGTAATAGTATTTTACGTGTCCGTGTTGCAAGGTACCTAATTCTGGTGTGGAGCTTTTAAGGTAAATGCTGCAAAGTATGGAGAAACTTCAACAGTGTAACTGGTTCACGGAGTTGAGGGGTTACAGATAAGTTGCTGCTACTTTGTCAGCCAAATTAGAAATTTAAAAGTAAACCTGACTTTTGCCAATTTCATTAATCAAAGTTTTCTGCAACTGGAAGGAATTCTTGTGATAGCCAGTCAGTGAAAAACATATCTATCTCCGCCCTGGCCAGCTGTTCACTTATTCTGCTTTCTTCCATAATAGGACTGTTCCCCATTTTGCTGTATTAAAACTTGCAGGATAAAGGTTACCAACTGTATAAAACCAGTTCTGTTGCCTATGTCTCTTTTAGCTATTTCAGGCTTGAAAAAGCGTAATTTAGTTAGGCTGGATTTGCTGAAATTTTTCACTGCAGAATTCTCAGTTTACTTTGATTCCTGGTAGGTTATGTATCCTCCTCTTTCGAATTATCAAAAACATGATTGGCTAACTTCACTATCGGCCAGCAATAATTCTAGTCTTGCATCCTTCCAGAAGACCATATTCAGCAAAGTTTGCATTTGAAAATAAAAGAATAAAATACAAAGTTAATATGCATGTTTTTGAATATGGGATTAAATGGGCCCATAAGTAGAGAGGAATGACAGGGCTTCAAATTATGGAATGCATTGCTTTCTTTTTGTGGCAGAGGGTGAGTGGCAGTAGGGCAAGTATCGGTACTTGCTGTTAGGTGGAGTCTCAGCACAGTGCAAGTAAGGCAGATGTAGGTTTGCTGGGACGTTGATGGAAGAGTTGTGGTTGTTTAGCTTGGGTTTTGTTTCCTCTGTTCTGGTGTTTTTTTTGGAAGATGGTACAACATCTCCCCACCTCCCCCCCCAGCAGTGCAGGGGCAGGGGATGGGGGTCACAGCCAGCTCGCCGCTCTGTCCCAGGAGCTGGGGGAACACCGCACACCCCTCCCCTGCCCCCCGGGGCTCCCCTCTCCCTGCAGACAGCCCTCCGGGAACCTTCTCCGCAGTGAGCCCTCCCCACGGGCCGCAGCCGCTCCCGAGCTGCTCCGCCGTGGGTCCCCCCCGCGTGTTGCAGCCCCCCCAGCGCCGAACCACAACCGCGGGGGCTTCTCCCCGCAGAGCCCCGGCCTCCTTTCAGTGCAGCCGCCTGTCCTGGCGTGGGCTCCTCCACAGGCTACAGGTCAGCCTTTATTCCACCACAGACCTCCATGGGTGGCAGGAGGGCAGCCCTGCTGTCTCACCATGGGATACAAAGGTCTCTGCTCTCGTGCACTTAACAACCTCCCCCCTGCCTTACTCTTCCTTCCTTCCACTGACCTGGGTATATGTCCTTCTCCCAGCTCCTCCTCACAGGTCCCAGCCCCCTCTCAGTTTCTGCTTCTTAAATACATTCCCTCTGTGGCGCAGCCACCGTCACTGACAGGCTCGGCCCTGGCCAGAGATGGGTCTGACTTGGAGCCGGGGGAGCTTTGAGAAGCTGCTCACAGGGGGCACTGCTGTAGCCCCCTCCCTGCTACCAAAGAAAAACTGTACCACGAAACCCAGCACAGCTGTGTCTTGGAAACGCCTCAAACTGTCCTTAAAATTGCAACACCGGTTTCAGTGCAGTGTGTTAAAATGTAGTGAAATAAGAGTAGACTTTTGAATGCAAAAAATTACTGTTAATTAGAAACATTTTTTTTGTGAATGACTTGCCTGTGCTGGCAGAAAACTTGAAGTGGTTTATAGCAGAATACACAGACAAATACAGCCCCAACCAAAAATACTGAGTGAGCAGTCCTGTTTATCTTGTGGAGTGTTTTGTTTTTACCTTACAGTGGCAAAACAGGAGAGCCTCTGACAAAGGCAATTCTTGGTCAGCCCTGAAGTAATTTTGCAGTACTGTATGCTTGGTGCCTTATTGAAGGAGCCTTTCCTTCACTTGCCTCACATTGCCATTTTTCCTCTTTAACACCGACTGCTGAGATGCAGAGCACTGGGAGGGATTCAGAACAGGGGAGAAACATTCACATTTTTGTTTTCATAAAAGGGAGCAGGAGGGTTTCCCTCACTTCCTCAAACCTGGCTCTCATATAAGAGAATATCTAATGGGCCGTTGTATTGGGACATTCTGAGATGGGCAATGTAGAGAAGGCAGAAGTCAGCCAGGTACGTCCAGAGGAGTAGTTTCCCCACAGATTTGCTGTGAGAAGAATAGGTGTCTGAGAACCACAGTGCCTTTCCCCTTGAGTTGAGCACCTGATATATGAATTAACACTATGTAATTCATCTGCTTGCTCTTTTTTTTTTTTTTTTTCTGCTAGTATTTGTTTGTTTGGAGTAGTTGCAGCATACTGTAGATTTAATGAAAAAGATCATTTGTCAAATAAAGTAATTAGACAGAAGGAGCTATTTTATTTTTTCTGGTTTTCTGCCAAGGACTAGGTTTAGATTTCCAAGGATTGGGTTAGTCAGATTCAGTGCCTGCTATATGTTGTTACGAGGCAAGTGTCATCGAAAGCCTGACAGATTTATCAAGCTTCTTAGCTATGAAGTTTATAATTGCACAAGGAAATGTGTGATGTTTGTTTTGAACTGCCAGAGTTGTTGTGTTTTCTACTCTTTAGTGCTGTGCAACTTTTGTTGGCATTTTTCACATACTATTTTGTTAATTATACATAATCTTTTGGAATGGTAATCAGTGCTGCATTTATTTGTGACTTCTTGGTATCTGAAGAATCCTGGTCAATCTATTAATGTTTTGAAAGGTTTATTGGGAGATTCTTACTTTGGTTTATTTCTTTAGCCTGATGTGTGCAAGTGCTGTGCTGTAACTTCTGTCATGCTCGTTTTTTCTTAATGGTTGTAGAGATTTCTTCTACTCTGTCTGAAGAGAAGAAACAGCTTAATGGTAAGTATTCACCTGGAGTGAGGTGGGGAGTAAACCTTACATTTATTTGAATATTATTGAATGAGCAGTGTTTATGCAGACTTCTGTCTGTCTTTGAATTGGATATTGAGGCTCTAGTGATCTGTGGAAATTGCAGAAGGCAAAATCCTAATCAGGTATTGTGAATTCCGTGTTTAAAAGTATTGTAAGACATTAGTTGAGTAGTATAGATAAGGGAGTTACGAGATGGTCAAGCTTTCTGCTTGAGTCAGACAAGATACGTCACAAATTACTGTGTGCTATAAAATCTGCCACTACAAAATCACCAGGCTGTTTGATTCTTCTCTGTATCAGAAAAGCTAGGTGCCGGTGGGCCTGGAGTAGCAGAGACAAGACAAAATCTCGGGGAACACTTAGAATTAGTAAGTCTCTACTAAAAGCTGGGAGGTCATCACTGGGAAATGAGTTGAAATGGTGGTGAGTTAGCTGATTACAGCATGACTGAACTACTTGAGACGTAACTGTGAGAATGACTGGGCTGATAATTTTAGCTCTAAGAGAAGCAAGTATAGTTCTGTGAATGTATCAGGAAGTTGACAATAGTCCTTGTAGAGATGGGGAAGCTTTCTCAAGGCTTCACTGAACCCTTCCTTGAGTACTGCAGGTAGCTTTGGTTGCTAGTGATCAAGACTACGCTTTTAGGGAAATGTTCCGGACTGATTAGTCATATTCGTATAAGAGACTTCCAAAAAGAACGTGGTTTATGAAGTCATGTCAGATGAGGTGTCATGGGGGTGTGTTGATGGAGCAAATAAGATGAACATATGTGAAGGGAAATAATACAATTTGAACTCAAGGCTGACCTATTGGCATGAAAGGGGACAAGTGCAAATCGGTCATGGAAAATTCTAGGCTGGAACTTCGAAAAAGGAATCTAGAGCAGTCAGATTTTGGAGTGGCAGGAGGAACAGAAACCTGGATGTGTTTTAAGAAGAAACCAGAGAAGTTTTCACAGTGATGACCCAACAGTGAGGGGAAGATAACTTGTTCATGCTTTCTCTGGTGAATCCGAGTTCCCATTTGTTTTCTTTTTTCTCCTACTATCTTCTTTGCTCTCCCTTTGTGTTCTGTGAATGTTGTATTTGATTTCTAAAAGTCAGTTTATCTTTTAGTATGTACAAGCCTTCAGCTACACAAAAAGTTAAACATACATAGTATAAAAGTAAACAAGACTGATTTTATTTGTTCCTGTTTTGCTCTATAGCCTTACGAGATGTTAAACTAAACTTTGACAGGGTCTGCTGCCTGACTTCCCTTTTTTTTTTTCTTCATCAACAAACAAGTTACTGGAACCTGTTAATCTTGCTTTGAAGGACTAGGAAAATTAGAAAACAAACTCTACCAGAATTAGATCATTATGAGCTAGTAGTCATTAAATATTTTTAATTCAATCGAAGACTAATTTTACCATCTATTTCAGTGTTCTTTCTCTCTTGGTTATTTTGGTTTATGAATTCGTTAGTTTTTGTACTTGCCTCGCTGGCCAGAGTTTTTCTGTGCATTTTTCATATTCACAGCAGATCCAGATAAAGATAAATAAGTGAGATTCCCTCTCTTTTCCATCTTGCTTCCCCTCCTGCTCCTAGCAATAACATTTCTTGTCCAGATTGTGACTTGTCAGGAAACATAGGAAATTATTCTGATGGTAGTTTCCAATTAAATTGCCAAAATACTGATGCTTGCTTGTTGTGTTCAATTTACCTGTTTGGCAAGACTTTTTTCAAAATAGGATAGGTGAGTTCCCAAAGTTACCTTTCATGAGGTTTTTCATATTCAGTTGTTGTGTCTCAGTGCTTAGCTCTTGTAAATTTAAGTCAAAATGAGTTTGGAAATAAGCATCGCTGTCTGAGAGTGGGAGAGAGAAGCTTATGGCACGGGCTCTGTTTTTTTGGAAGTTGTTGGCACTAATGAAGACAGTTCTGTGTTACCAATCTAAAATGTATAAATAGCTGTATTTGGAGTGTGCTCAGATCAGTCAACTTAAATGTGTCATTTATGTTTGTGAACATCAATTGTATATGTTAGGGTCAATCAAAGCTGAAGTTTTCAGAATACATTGCTGGTGATAACAGTCAGCATGGGTATAACCTAATGTGCTCTTCAACATCTGTTCAGACTTGAGTTTCAAACAAAAGGCATCAAAATTTCAAAACGCTGCCATTACCAGAGCATGCCTGACAACTTCATCTTTGTTTGAGAACAAATATGTATGAAGGACATATTTTAAAAATAAATGCAGCCTTGTACGTCTGAGCTAAACTGAATTTCTCTTTCACCCAAACTATTATGTTGATTTTTGTAATATTAAAAAAAAAAAAAAAAAAAGAAATAAAATTATTTGGGCAGTTCCACCATCTGAAAACAAGCTGGTGTTTGAGTATATGCACATCAGACCTTGAAAAATCTTATCAGTGTCGAAAAGGGTCAGGAGAGGAAAGGTTAAGCTTGAGTTTCAAGTAAGAAAACTAAATCTCGAGGTTCAACCAGCTGGACTTCTTTAGCACAAGTAATATAAGTGTTCCTATTTTTCTTAGTAATATTTGGAGTTTGAAAATACGGGTAAAGCTTGTTCTGGGCCTTCCAAGACCAAAGAAAACAATAGGTACAGGAAACTTTCAGAGCATCCTAAATAGTTCAGATTGGAAGGAACATCTGGAGCCTGTTCGGTCCAGTCTTCTGCTCAAAGCAGGGTGAATTTTGATACCAGAACTTTGATATTTTGGTATCCAAGTTACCCCCATGGGAAGCAGAGATGTGGTATTTTGGGTTTTCTTTTGTGCCGCTTCCCACCCCCTCCTCCCCCCTGGAATTTTGCTGCTACTTGTCTGTTGCCTTTTGTCTGTCTCTGAGAAGAGTCTGGCTATCTCCTCTGTATTTCCTGCTCTCTCACCCCCTTCTCTTTAGGTAGTTGGAGACTGCAGCTGGATTTCCCCCTTAGCCTTTTTTTTTGCACAGTTGCCTTGGTTTCCTTTCATATATCCTGTATTCCAGCTGATGACCATCACCATTTTGATGACCTTTCCCTGAACTTGACCTGGTATATCAATGTCTGTTCTGCTATGGGGAGCCAAAACTGGACACAGTACTCCAGATGTGGTCTCTCAGATGCTGAACAGAGAGGAAGAATCGCTTCCCTTGAACTGATTGCAGTGTTCTTGCCCAGGATAAAGTTGACCTTCATCACCACAAATATGCAGGATCTGCTCAAGTTCAGCTTGTCTTCTAAGTCCCTGGAAGGTTTTCTGCAAAGCTCCTTTCTATCCGTTCAGGCCTCCCACTTGTTTTGTTGCATCAGATTTTGATTTTTTTTCCAGGTGCAAAATTTTACATCTGCTTTTGAACTTCATGAAGCTTTTGTCAGCCCATTTCTTCAGTGTCTGGGTCCCTTTGAATGGTAGCCATAAACTTCCATGTTTTGACTGCTTCCCATGATTTGTTATTACTCATGTACTTCCTGACAGTGGGACAGTGTGTGCCTTTCAGGTTGATAATGACAGTATCTAACAGTATCGGCATTCCCTGTTCCCTAGGGAATAGCAGCTGTTAGCAGCCACCAGTTGGACTTTGAACTGCTGATCACAGCTTTTGTGACTGGCAGTCCTACTAATTTTCTATCCATATTGTAATTCCACCTCTCAAACCCATCTCTCTCCAATGAGGCTCTGAGGGTAATGTGAGAAGTTCTTATCACTAGCCTTGATATCCCATGGGATTCTGCAAAGCAGTTCCTGGAACAAGCTGAAGTTTGCACTTGTGAGATGCAGAGTTGTAATTCTGATGTTCATCATGGTCACCTTAAACTTAATTTCATGCCTGCCATCAGCAGTTAGTTTCACCAGCAGCTTTTATTTTACTTATGGCCACCATGAGGGGTAGAACACTTCCCTTAATTGGTTTGTTGATCATCTGAATCATTGTCTTTTTATTGCGATGGGACTTCTTGTTTTCACATAGCATCTTACAGTGTTTCAGAATAATTAATAAATAACTTGGTTTGCCAGAATGTTCTGTTTTGTTGTGGCTGTTCGTATATTTCTGTTGACCTGCAAAAGCAAATAAGAGAGTGTATGACCATGAATTTCTGTTATTCATTGAGGCCAACTTAAGCGTATGATATATATCCTCAAGAAAGCCTTAGCCTTGGAGAAAGCTTTTATCATTAGGTGGTTGGTGTTCTTTTGCAATGATCTGACTGCTCTGCCATTTAGTTTCCTTGGCAGCTGCAGATGGTGTGTACTTAGGGGTAATTAAGGATCAAAGAATAAGTAATTCCAGCCAGTTTTAATTGCTTTAGGTTAATTCCCCCATCTGGATGATCAAATAATTCTGACAGATTGGACTAGACCAGAGTGATTCTCTTTGTTTTTATCTACTTCCCACGTGGTAGAGCCACTCAATTACTGTGTTTAAACATGTAGTCAAACTACAAAACTTACTGGCATTTAGAAAATAATGATCTAAGTAACAGCATTTATATGTTAATTATTTTGGGCATAGCCATTTGAGATTTTTTGGTTTGCCTTTGAATGGGCTTGAAACCATCACTTACCAACTGTTATCTTAGACCTCTGCCTAACCGTTGTCCAGAAAAACTACTGTTCATGTGGTGTTACAAATTGTATTACATTTCAGTCTGTGTAGCTTCCTCCATCGTGATTCTATGTAACTGCCTTGTATTAAAATTTATGAAGTATTGCAGTTGTTTTTATCTGTCATCTCTGCTTAAGTTTTTGCCAAATATGTTCAGTTTCTGTTAGGCCAGAGATTAGTACGGTTGGCATTTTCAGACTGACCAAATGTTGCCTCCCAGCAAAAGCTTTTTCAGACTGTTTCATGTTTAATAATTAAAGTGAGTAGCTGAATTCTGTGAAAATGCCTAGCAAAGTCAAAGTAGGGAGATTAAGGCTGATATCTTTGCTTAACTGAGTGATGGGAAATTTTACTTGTGAATTAGGTTAGACCAGATGTCCCAAATTTAATTTGTTCATCTGAATAATTGCATAAACAGGTAGTTTGGTTAAAGGAGATTTGCTCAGATAACCTTTTTTTCATACTTCGCTATCACAAGGTGTGAGAGCACAAGCTGTTAACAGATAAAACTGGGACCAAGCTACATGTATCAGAAGTGCTGCACACACAGGTTCTGTGGTAGATGGAGCTCTTAATTTCTGAAGCAGAACTTCATGTTCTAGGAGCCTGCTCTCCAAAAAGAAAGTGCTGGATAAAAACAAAATTTAAAAAGTACATGGGTACTTCTGGCTGCCTGTTGAAATAAAGCCACTAAATATTGTGGAGGGGTATTTAGAACATTCAGTTTCAAAATAACAAACTGTCTCTGCTTGTTTTCTGTTAAGCGAGCATCACAGCAAATATTTTAATGACTCTACTTTTTGTAGGTATGCTTCCTGAGAAGAAGGCACTGGGTGCTTCTGCTAAAGATTTAACTCCAAGGTAAACCCTTGTCTTTCATTGTCTGTTGAACATTCTATTTAATAATTTTGTGCAGTTCTTAGTAAATGCAGGCAACTTTTTCCATGGTTAGTTCTTGATATTTTAGCTAAATGAGTATATTTCATTACCATCCTCTTATAAGTAGGAAAGTCTCAACTCAGATTTAAACAACATGTCAGAGGTCATCAACTGTATTGGCAGATGATGATGCAAGGTTCTCAGCTTGCTCTGTTGGTTTCTAACACTTGCTTCATATACAAATGTGTGGCTTATATTTGCAGCCTCCTCAGCCTTGATTTTTGAAAAAAATGTGGGAAAGTGATTCCAACTGGGCTGATTACTTTTTTCACTTTAGTTAATTTGTCCATAAACCTATGATGTGCCTTGGAAAAGTATTTCATTTCAAGCTGGAATATGTTAAGATGTTATAGCTGTATTCACGTTTCTACAATATGCAAAGCAAAGCAGGCCCTAAAATCCCACTGTGACATGCCTGCTGTTGTCACTGAGGTATAATTTTACTTCGTGATTCCCTGAGTTGCCAAAGTTCAGTTTCTCACTTTCTATCAAAATCTGTGAATGTGTAATCTCTGGGCTAGTTACATGCAATCATAAAAACTACTGTGGCTCGTGAACAACTGGAACGTGGCTTATCTTCAAGAGTGCTCCCCAGCCTTCCTGCCTTTCTTCCCCATGTGTGTCTGGCATGTTCTGGTGTGTGACTGGAAGGTGTACAGCCTAGAATGTGTTGGCTGTCAGGAGTGTCTGCTGGACGAGACATCCTCCCTCTCTGCCGCCTTTTCTGGTCCAAGGGTCCAAACAGTTGACAGGTTAGAACATTGGGGAAGGGAGATGAGAGGGGCTAACCTTGTTGTGGGGACAGGTTTGTTTTTCACTTGCTAGGATTGCAACTTGCAAGATGCTTGAGTCAGGTGTGAATTACAGATGTGGGATCCAGGACTGAGATTCAGATGTATGGTCCCTGTGAAAAGGGCTAGAGAAAGGAATAGCTTTTCTGGGCTTGGGTGGGTAAATTACTTCTTGGAAAGTGTAAGGACATATAAACAATTAGCATTTGAAGGCTTTCTGCTTCTTACCTTACACTGGATTTATTACAAGGTTTGGGCAGCTTGGGAACATAGGAATGTGAAATCTTGATTTGGGGAGTTGAAGGGAAATTGCAGCTTTGTGCTATGTGCATGGTAACTAAAACTCTTGGAAGCCACTCTGGCTATTTAATATTTTTTGTTTGTAGTCAAGGATTTTAATCATCTTGTTAGGAAGGTTCCTGTGCTGCAAAGAGGATGCATGTGCTTTTTAAGTAAAACCAATACCATATAATTTCATCTACAGTGTGCTGACTATCAGGATGCATAATTAGACTGTTCTTATTTTAACAGTCTTTTCAAAGTTATTGTCTCTGGACTTAAAAAATAGTAAATAACGCATTTGGCTTGTAAATTCATGAGGGATGTTCTGCTTGAAAACTGCTAGTTAAATATATATTCGTATGCCCAAAGTATATATTTTTTCTTTACTGTAGTTTTTGCTTTACAGTTATGACTGGTTCCAAACAGACAGTTTGATCACTATTGTCATATATACTAAGCAGAAGGTAAGTGTATTATATGAAAGGGAGAATGACGAGATCCAGTTGTGATCCAGCTTGAATTCTGGAAGAACTTTATTAATTTTATTTTTTCCTTTGCCCGTGAAAGGATATGAACACAGAGTTGGTGATAGTTGACTGTCAAGACAAACAATTAAGAGGAGAGATCATCGTGGATGACCACTCATATCTTATAGAAGTTGGTAGGTACTGTAATTTTGCATTTGAAAATACTGAATTTTCATTCTTCTTTATTAAAAACCTCTCATCAGATCATATGCATTTTACCAATTAATATTTTATACCTCTTTCATTAAAGATGATTACTTTAAAGTACCTTGATGTAAAAGAACTGCACTGTTTATTAACTCACATCTTCATTTGTTTAGTATGTATTTTTTACATGTGGAATAAAGTGTAGTAGGAAATTGTAAAAGTTGTGTAAAATTTTTCTTCAAGTGTATTTTCAGTGGTTACTAAAATGCCCGTATTCATAAAGGGCAGGTGGAATGATTTAGATAAATGCAGATTGGTAGCTTTACATGAGCCATTGTTAAAAGTAATGGGAAAAATTATGTCTTTCTTAATGTTATGTATTAGGCCTGCAGAACTCACTGGAACTGTTAGGATGAAAGTGAAATTTCAGGGCTGCATAACGATGCAGAAGTTTCTAGGGTCATTAGTTCACTCGGTATTCCTAGCCTTAAATTGTATATATAATAACTAGAATGTAATTTTGGTTTTGCCTAAAATAGAGTTTGTTTATTTTAGATTTGGATCATGGAGTTCAAGAAGACATGACTGGTAAGTTCTGTTTCTTGCAGCACTTCTGTATCCCTTCTAATATCAGTACGTGGAACTTCAATTTATTTTTCTGACTTGTCAGATGCTTTACAGTTTTGCTTACCACAAGGTTCTGACACAATCAAATCAAACCATAACTGAATAATTTTTTTTTTTTTCAGTTGTGGCATTTGGGCTGGTGAAAGTTGATGGTGCTCTGATTCTTCTGAGTATGACTAAATGTTAAAATAATTAGAAGTTAGTTCTGTTGTGTATTTGTAAACTGTTCTTTGCTTAGACCGGGCTTTTCCTGGTTTTAATTATTCATTCAAATAGCTTTGAAAAGAAAGGAAGTCATAATTCGTGGTAGTTACCAATTTCCAGTAAATGAGGAGTCTGAATTCATGAGCATTCTTTTTCACCAGAGAGTCTGTGAAGATTTTCACTGTGTTTTTAGTAAATAAGATACACTAGTTATGCATATTAAGTTAGTGCTTGTTGTTTTAAAGAGATAGCTGGAAGTACATTTAATTTGATATTTTAATTTAACGGATTAATTCTGTGTGTTTTCAAATGACTAATTCTTCTAAAATTTCATTATAATGGAGGAGTAAAATTTTTTTTTTTTTGCACAGAATATAAATAAAAGTAACAGTGTGAAACCTTTTCTCTTTTAGTAACTATTGCTGAGAAAGTTGGGAAAGTACAGATTACTTTAAAGAAAAAGGATAACATTCATTGGAAAATGCTGGGACAACCCTTGGAGTGTCATAATACATTTATCAAATGCACAGACAGAGGTAACCAGTTTCATGGCCATGCTACCAGCTGTTTTAAGACTTTTTGGAGCTTGTTAGTTCTATTTTGTTTCTCTGGGATTTTCTTTTTCTATAGTCATACCTTCATTTCTTTCAGGAATGTTGCCTGGTCTTGTTGAAAGCCTCTCAGAAATTCTTGAAAGGGTTCAGCTTAGAGATATTATTTTGTTTTGCTTTGGTTTATTGGTTTGTTTTGTCTCACAGTGGAATTACGGGTCTTCCAGGCTTGTGGAAAGAATGGAAGAACCTAGTAGGGGAAGGTGAGGACTGCTTGAGCGTTGTTCCATTTCATGGCTCCCTGTGTGCTTAATATCCTTTCTGTCCATATGAAAACCTCAGTAGACCCTGAGGAGATAGTGCATGGCCTTGTGTCAATCATTATTGGAGTAACTGTAGTGAAGGTACAAAAACCCCAACTTCTAACTGTTACTGCAGATGTAACATCTCTCAACACTGTAATGTTGTTCCAGCATGCCCCATCTTTGTAACTTGAGCTATGATTAAGTAAGGCACTTCAAGCCATGTGTCGGTATCAAAGCCAGCTCTGAACAAGCTGATGGGTCTGCAAGAAGCAGTAGATGTTACGTATGAGTTCATGAACTTGATGCAGCACCCAAGTACATTATCTTGATCGCTGTGCTTTTTTTTTTTTTTATTAACAGCAAAATTAAAAATTTCTGCACAACTATGCTGTGTAATACAGGCATACTCCTCTGTTACTGCAACTGTACTGTTTCTCAAAAGCCCTCTTGGCCCTTTTTCTAATAATGCTCAGAAGTTGGCTGTTTGCTGTTATTCTGCCTTATTATGTGTGAAAGCAAAGACATACATTTTTAAGAGCTAATTAAACGTTGATCACTGTGTTGTACACCTCTTACTGGCTCTCAGTTAATATTACTTAGGCCTTTAAAGTTGAGAGATTGCTGTGGTACAAAAATGAAAATGGACTGCGTAAAAGCACATCTCTTTAGCTACCTCTAGGTTATATAGAATGTAATTTTCCTTATGAATTTTAGAAACTGTTGAGTCATCCACTTTAGATTTTTCAAGATAATCCTCTATATTTAAGGGGATACAGCCTGAACTAATACATTGTCCATTGTCCATTGCTCATTGCTCATTTCTGTCTCCTTACCGCTTTTCATGATTATGAAAGACAAAATGAGAAAATAACCTGAAAGGACAAGAGGTGTGGAATATAGTGGCCTTATAGATCCTTTACAAATGAAGAAGATGAGGATGACTGGATGTAGTTGGCAAAAAAACAAATTGAGTATTAGTAGCCAATGCTTCCTAGTTTATTATTCGGTGTTTTTTTCCAAGAAGTCAATCTCCAGCATAGCATCTGTCCTGTTATGCAGAGGAGAAATGTTGTAGGTATTGAATTACTGTATTATGTATCACTGACTGACTGACTGAGTTCAGATCAGTTTAAATTGAACCTCCAGAAAACTTGAGGTAAAGAGCTTGCTGGGCCTGAGTTTCTTCAGTTTCCTGATTACAGAGGTGAGGAATCTAGCAAATATGTTGGTATCCTTACTCCTGAAACTTTTGTTCTGCAGGTTTTTTTAACTTTAAAAGCCCAGAATTTAAAATTGAACATACCAGAATGTTTATAGAGGAAGAATGTTCAGGCTTGAGTATCTTTCCTTATTCCAACCCTGTGATTTCAGCTCAGCCATAAAATCTATGTGTTGGAGGCTTCTGTTTGCTTAATTTAGTCTTAAGTAGGTGCTTTCAGTTTGTGCTTAAAATTGTGTCCCCTTTCTCTAAATTGCACAGGTTTCAATTTTGCTTCTAATTCTGTGGGAACAAAGTAATGTTATGTGTGGAGAAACTCCTACCTCATGCAGTGTGAATACAGAAATAGTAATTAACAACTCCAGATAATCTCCTTGTCTCTATTAGGTATGCAGTTGGTTTTGTACGCAAAACTACTTTTTCTGAAGCAAAATAACTTTATTCTGGAAATAAGTAAGTGCCTATGGGAGCACTGATGTTTAATTCTTCAGATTTTTCTTCTCTTTGTGTTTTTCTGTAGTATTTTCTTGTGTATAAATCATTTCAAACATTTCCATGGTATTGAAAGCACAGGGAGAAGAGATGGATAATTAAGGAAGGATTGACACTTGAAAACTTTGCTTGATTTTTATGTTGTTGTTATTACTTGTTCACATGACAGCATTTATGAATGGAAGTTTGTAAAGGGGGGGGAGGGGCAATGACCACTACACCACCTGCACCCCCCCAAACCATTGTACTTTTAAGTTATTTAATCTTTATTTTTAGAGCAGCCAGTTCTAAATTCTACAAAAAAAGTGATTAAGCTCTTCAGACATAATGCAAAGATGATACTGGAAGCCTATGATAGCTTTATGCTATGAAGATACAATAAGCATAAGCCCCTACATTTTTCTTCCTCTTACACTGGGAAAATCATACTCTCTGATAAATTGCTGATGGACTCAAATTCCTGCTGAGTTTAGGCTAACATCTTGGCCAGTGTATCTCTTAAGTGGGAGGAAAAACCCAAAATCATGGAATTTCCTCAAAGTTGAGGGGGATTTTTAAAAAATTTTAATGTGATTTCAGGGAACTACAGTGTATTTTAAGATGCATCAGTAGATTCAGCAGAACATTCAATACCACTTCTGCTCCTTAAGAAGGATTAAGGGCTTTATTTTCCAGAGGAATAATTATTTATACCTGACAGTATTGCATAAAAAGCACAACTCAATATAATTAGATTGTCAGTGTAGGGAAGTTGGTGACATTACTCTTAGCTAGCTGTTATGAAACTGGTCATTAGGAAGTATAAACAAAAAGTAATGGTCATAGTGCCAGCATCCTGTGAAATTGAAATGCAGTATTAAAAAAGCAAGGCAGAACTTTGCCATTTAAAAGAACTACACAGCATAGTGATAGATTGCAGTTTTTCTCTTCGGTATTAAGATATGATTTTATTGTAGGTGGCTTTTCTGGTAAATAAGATATGGAAGCCCAATGACGAGGGGATAGGTTGTAATCACCACTGCATATCATGCTTCTGTGTCAAGGTGGAATTGCAGCCCAGTCTTGGAGGTTACAGGCAAGGACTCTAATGCTGTTACCTAGACCTGCAGTTTATCAAAGATTGTTTAAAAAGACACCAACTGGAAAAATACTTGAAAATTAGCTTTTCCTGTGGAATTATTTAATATAAAATTTAAGTTAAATTTCAGCTACCTTGGTTCATCTTAGTTGGTAAGACCAGATCTTTTGGCTTTGGTTTTCTTTATTAGTGTGCTAGTTGATTTTGTGGAAAAACTGAATTCTGCCAAATTTTTAAATACCAAGGCCTTCACCACTGACCACTTAAATAAAATTTCATTGTTGAGTATAAATCTGTTTATGATGTCCCATCAAAAGGCTTCTTGCTCTGAATGAGATACAAAAACATTGCATGTACATAAAAAAGCAGTTTTGTGTATCTAAATATCTAAGGCTTTTATTTTTGACTTGTGAATAGCTGTACAACTGTAGCTGTGGTCAACAGAAAGTGAAACTTGGAATTACTTGAATTAATAACTTTTTGCATATTTTCTGATTTCTTAGGAGCTTTAGCCAATAGAATAAGCAGCTGATGTTGGGGCTGTATGTGTTAATACCAACTATCTTTATCCTGAAATTTGTTTCTACATGTTTCTACAAAGTAAAAATGAAATTTAAGTCAAAAACTAAGTACTTAGCATGCCAGTTCAGAAAATGTTTTAGAATGACTGTATATAAAAGCAGCAGCCATATGCAGGTGAAAAATTACATGTTAGTAGGGATGATTTATGGGAGTGTGGGTGTGTATTTTTTCCTCTGGAGAATAAATTCTACTTCTGCCTTCTGAAAATGATTCTGAACTTCCACTCAGAGCCCTGTTTTTGAAACTAACCTGATAATCCATTTCTTTGTGTAGCTACTGGCAGTTGTGTGCAACTATTGGCAGATGTTTATTGGGTTCAGTAAAGAATCAAAATGGTGTTGCCTGTAAGGACTGAAATGGGATGTAATTTCATAGTTTGGTGCAGTGGTTTTAGTCTATGTTAAGTGGAAGATCATAGTCGTCTTTTTTTTTTTTTTTTTTTTTATGTTAGAGGTAATAGAAGAGAGCAGAACGCTGATGCAGCACTCCAAGGTATATAAACCAGACTTATGCAGTGCCAGTGTGGTATTTGTTGCGTAACCAGGAAGAGTTTAGAAGGTGTTGATTCAGTGGAAACTTTATTTTGGGAAGGGAGGAAGACCATCTGGGAGGAACATGGCTGACCTCTTTGGATAATAGGAGCTAGCTTGTTAGATCTAGTAATTAACAGAAGCGTTTGAAGGTAGTGATAAATTGATGGTCAGCATTAAGGGTTCATGGTTGTTTTAATTCCAAGACTGGGCTACTTCCAGGAGTGATAGGCAGCCATCTTCCTTCAGCTGTGTGGTCTAATCTCCATTATGTTGGTACTGACAGTACTTGAGGTTCCATAATCAAGCAACCCAAACAAAATAAGGAATAGCTTTCATCTGGTTTACGGACAATATTATGTGCATGCTGGGGGTGGGATGGAACTCCTTTATGAGAGATGGAGGGGCAGTGGAGGATGGGGCTTCTGTGCTTTGAGACTGTATCCCAGGCAAACAGGCTAATGTTGCTGCTGTAGCATATTACTAGGATTATGGCTAACAAGTAAGAGGAAGTTAAAATTGTCACTGAAGTCCTATCACTGAAGAAAAGCAGGAAACATCATTCAAGGACAAAAATCTTAAAATCCCTTTCATAACAAGGAAGAACACATTAGGCAAAAGGATTGTAATCTCCAAAAGGTATCGTTATCTGTACAGCAGTTTTTGTTAGTAAAACTCATTTTGTATTCATATGAATCAAGGTGTTGTAGTAGTTGTTTCCAGCAGAGAAGAAACTTCAGCTTAGAGAGCGGCGTCTCCAGCCTGTGGTTGTATTTGGTTTACGTGGCAAGGTTTTCGTAGCGGGGGGACTGCAGAGATGGCTTCTCTGAGAAGAGATCAGGAGCTGTTATGCTGACACTTGATGTCTGCATATAGTTTGATCAAAGCTAATCTCCTCCCTAATTACTTTCTCTACTTTGAAAATTAGGATTTGCTGCTGGGGACTTGCACCATGCTCCAGAATTGAGAGAACAGTGCCTTTTGCTTATGTATAGTAGCAAATCATATATCTTTATCATCTGACAGTTAACTTGGCTTCATGGGTTGCTAAAAGCAGTTGTTCTCTTTCAGCTTGCTACTAGAGGCTCAAGGTTTCAACCTTGTTGAAAGGCTTTTCTACATTGCCAATTATTTTTGCTTGTGTCTCCATATTTTATTGGAACCACTGATAATGAACTAGTTCTAGTTAATATAACAAAGAGGACAACCTAAACTAGGAGTTTGCTTAGACCTAGAAAGGTTTCTGTTTTCAAAAGTCTGAGATAATCAGAACAAAAGTTCTATATGACAAAATAAAAAGAAAAAGGAAGAGGTAAAGGTTAGTTCATTACATATGCAAAAAGTTGGAATTTGTCAGGTTGGAAAGGTCAGAACATAGACAGGAAACAGTGAACCAGGTGATGAATCAGTTTTTTAAATACTCTCTCTGCTCCCAAATATCGGGAAGATGATTAGCTGTGGCGGTGTTGTGGGCTGTATTACCAACCTCTCATATCCTTTCAAGTAATTATTAAGTCTGCAGAATTGACAGCAATCTTAGCATATTTATTTGTATACCATACTTTGCAGTATGTAGAATGTTAGAAAAGCAAATTACAACAAACTTCTTATAAAATTTCTTTCATATAGCTGGAGAGCTGCTGATGTTTTGCTTTACTTTAAGATTGGTATGAAATGGAATTACTGCCTTTAATTTTTCAGGGCTGTAGGCATTCTTTTGGTGTATCTGAAATGTGTGCTCATTCAGAATAAGCAGTATGTAGGATGTTAGATGACAAACGTGACACAATAGTAAGGAAGATTTATTTCATGTCAAGGGCTTTACATCATGTCTGTACAGGGATTTATAGTGGCTAATTCATTGGTAGGTATTTGAATAATTTAAGAAAACAAGTGCATGCAGAAAAATGCCATGTCCACCTACATGTACACTTACATCAGATTTTTTGGCAGTCCATCCCTGTTCAAAGGAGAATCGGCATGTGATTAAACTGAGGAAGTAAAAAAGCATCTGCTGCTGCAGTGGCAAAATACAAAAGTTCAAGGTGCTTCTACTTCTAAAACGTAAAGAAATATCGGAGTCACAGATTAATTTAGTTGAAAGGGACTTCTGGAAGTCATGTGGTCTAACCTCCTGCTCAAAGCTGCCTGGTCAAGGTTTGAATATCTCCAAGGACAGAGACTGTCTGGGCAGCCTGCCCCAGTGTTGGACCAGACCACTGTCATGGTGGTGCCTAGTTGGAATTTCCTGAGTTGCAGTTTGTGTGTGTCCTTTGCATCCTGTTTCACAAGTAGCTCAGCTGATTAAAATAGTGACATATTTTTCAGTAACATGAGAAAAAGAGAGGGGAGGAAATGTTGCTTCACTGAAATTGCAATTCAGTGCAGAATGTGTCATTAGAAGGGTGTCATGATCAAGTATTCTCATGTATGAACCTGTCAAATTTTGAGAGACTTTATGTGAAAATATTCACTTGGACTGATTACAAATTTTACCTTGAAAATGGTAAATTACATGGGATTATTGTAGGGAAGAGGCTTTTTCTCTCTGCCTTGGTTGGTTGGTTGTTTTGGTTTGGTTGGTTCGTTTTGTTTGTTGGGGTTGTTTTTTTTTTTTTGTTACTCTTTGCTGGGCTGAGCTTCCAGAATCTTATTGCCCATGAAACTTCCCTTGCGTTAGAGAGTTGTTTAGGCAGTGTGGTATCATCACACTGATATTTCAGGTTAGAGCTAGAATACTGCAGTGCTGAAAAAAAGGCTCAGGGGAAAAATGCTCTTCTAATGGTAGAAGAGGAAAAATGTCTTCTTCATCTGGTCATCTTCAAATTACACTTCTGGTTTTGTTATCTAGATTTCTTCAATATGCTGTCACTTGCCTTATGCAGCAATTGTTATTCCCATTGATATTTTAGACATCTGGGACACTTGTTCTCAAATAGTCAAGTACTAACCTAGGGTGTCAATGGTGACTGGCCTATATCAGTTAATAGAATTTTGTAGTTGAGAGTTGAGGAATACCTTCCTATATTTGACATTTGTTGCTTTCCACAGTGAAAGCTATTAAGTGGTTGTTTTTGCATCCCTGCCTTTTTTTTGAAGTACTTCCTTGCTGCTTTACCCCGGCTTACCTTCTGCAGTCTCTGGCTGTAATCAGCAGGGCATAGCCCTCTATTTTGCTGTGTTTTCAAAACCTCTCTTAGACCATGAAGCGATGTAATGATGTCGATTACATAGATCAGGATGGCTGCTTAGTTCAAATGGGTGCAGGTCTGGCCAGCCTTACTCTGAGTGCTTTGCCACAGACATCATTTCCAGTATAAGTGATCAGTCATTGCCCCTGCTGTAGCAGAGGCAGAGTAAATGGCTTATCTTGCTGTGAGCCTGTTTCAGGTATAGGGAAAACACATTACTTTAAGGTTTCATAAGATATTGGTGAAACTGTTGCAGTTTATTTCCCCATTGTCCCTGAACAAAGCTAAATATTCAGTATTCCAGGGTGTTCCTTCCTTCCCTTTTCCCCACTGCCCTTTTTTTTTTTAATCCTCATTGCTAATAGCAATATACAAGGGGTTTTTTTTAAATAGGTATTCTGATTAGTAGTGTTCTTTCCCTGATTTCTTCCTCATTTTTCTGAAAAATTTTGATGAAAACGCAGACCTTGCATAGAAATTTTTAAAAATTTTCTTTTAATTATTTATTTTTTTTCAGTTACCTTTTATCAGCTGTTTAGTCGATGCAGAGGTTGAAAAGCACTGTATTTGTAACCCATGTCCTTGCCTCCAAAACAGCTCTATGAACAAAAATTTGTGCTGTACGTATGACCTTACAGTTGATTTAAGGAAGCATGTGAACATATATATAACTGGAGTTTGTAATTTCTAGTTAGCCAAAAGGCACCAATTAATGTCTAAAATGTTTATTGATAATGCCAAAGTGTGTGTTGCCTACTTAGGCACAGGTGTTAGTTTCATTTTACATGTGTGTAAGCACTTAAGTATTGATACTGTGTACTTGAAAAATTGTGCAAAGCTGTATCAGCAATGCTCCTTGTGCTAATAGCAGTGAGAACTGCAACAGCACGTGGTGGTCAGCTCTGTAAATATGTGGAATGATGGCTGGGTTTAGGTGGTCTGTTACTGAGGACTGTGGTGGTGTGCCTTGCTTGCATTTCATCTGCATTACCCAAACTGTACTTAGTCTGCATATATGTATTCATGCTGTAGTCGTATGGTGAATTTAGTGCAGGTGGAATGTAGTATGGGGGCAGGAGGTGGGGGGGTGTGGTGTGTTCTGCTTTCTGATAGTATTTGATGGTTTTCTACTTCTTCCCACTCAGAGCTGATCACTCACAGCTCGTCTGTTATGAGCCTAATGTAAGGCTATAAATGAGTCTTTAGCCCCAAATTAGAAAAATAATTGTAAGTAATTATACAAGAAGCATCTGTTTATAGTCTTTTTATAACTGTATATAGATAAATACATACCTTTTATCTCTTATTAGAAGATGTATAAGAATAGAAAGACAGATTGAGAATTAAGTGACAAGTAAGACCATGTTTTTAGGACTGTTCTACAGAAAATGCAAGTTGGTTTCTAAGACGGAAGTTACCCACGACACCAAGCTTTTGTGTTTAATGTTGCCTCAGAGCACACATCTGCGTGTTCCCACCGGACAACATGTTTACCTCAAACAAATCATTGCAGGTAAGAAAAATGGAGAGTGTAGCCATGGATATATTAACATAAATCCCTTTTCATAGCCTTGGGAGAATGCCAAGTCCATGGCCACTAATTCCCTAGTTGCAGTTAGAAAGTCTCTGCTTTCAGGATCACATTCAGTGCTTAATAATGAACTGACTGGATTAATATTGCTGGAAAGCTAACTATCAGGGTGGCTGGTGTTTACTGTTGACTTTCTTGGCTCTTCTTTCAACTCTCCCTTTAAAACATTCTCTCTGATGACATAGTGCTGTTCATCTTTGAACAGGGGAAGCTCGCTCTGTATGTGTTATGTATGATAGTTCCTTCTAGTTTGCAGTTCTTTTGGCATGCAGAAGTTAATGTTGCAATTCTGCGTTTTTTTTTTTTTTTCTTTTTTTAGTTCTTCTGAGTGATTTATAGCAGTCATGGTAACACTGCATTACACTCCAGCTGCACGGTATTAATGATAGCATGAGGTTGTGAGAGGAATGAATCTTAAAAAGCATTGTTTAAGCAGTATTCCTCAAAATTTTATGAAATGTGAACTTAAATAAAATGGGAGGTCAGAGAAATACCCGTTTTATTTTTTTGAGGGTACTTTTAAAAATTTGCATATTAATGATTTTGCTGGTCACTACTTGCATTGCACTATGCATGGTTGAGAGATTTCTCAGAAGAATTTTTAAATATCCTTTAACTGCAAACTGTTTTGTCCTCTTCCTACCTAATTCTTTGCCGGTGTCCAACTCTTACAATCTTTCTTTATATCAGTATACAATAGCTTTTAGAAATGGTAGTGGAAGAAAATACAATCATGCAGTACTATAAATCTGCTATTTCAGTTTAGAAAAAATCAAGCTGTGGTACTTAAATGCAAATGTTTAGATTTTCATGTTCTTTGGGGATGACTCTAGATCTTTTCTTATGGTGTTTTGAATTGCTAAGTAGTGTAGAAAAAACGCACTGTACTGTGGCCTGGAGATTTTAATTGGAAGTGGAAGACTACTGTGATAAGAATTGGTGCAGTGGAAAGTAACATACTTGTGTAAAAGCATGTGATGGTGTTATTTTTATGGGATGTAGAGTATTTGTTTAACGTTTGTTTAATATGGTATTTGTTTGCAGTAAATTTGCTGGCTGTAGAGTACTTCTCATATTATTTCAGCTACCTTTTTTTCTTCTGTCTAGGGACAGAGGTAGTAAAACCATACACACCTGTATTGCCTTTCTTGTCACTGGATTTCAAAGAACCATCTCGCCAGGATGGTGCATGTATTTATTTAATGATTAAAATTTATTCCTGTGGACTGTTCACACAGGCACTTGACCACCTGCAGATTGGTAAGTGTATGTTAGGGGTTTGTGTGTTTGGTTTTGCATCAATTGCTTTAGCTTTTCAGATTCACTGTCTGGGTATTGTGATGTTCTTATTGTTTACCTACTTATACATTAGGACATACTTATAACTTTTTTCTTTTTTTGTTAAAAACCTTATTTTCCATGCCCTGAATGTGTACAGGCTTATTCTCACAGTAACTAGGAGCTGTCCATTACATAAAGGTCTCCTGACTGGTCTCCCAAATGTGTTCATGTTTCACTGTTCAGATATGCCAACTGTATCATATGTTATAGTTGATCACTTTGTATATACTCTTAGAACAACTTTTTGTACTTTTAAATAAAGAAAGCTAGGTCTGTTTTATTAGATTTTAGATGCACTTTTGTTTAACAGTGACTTTGCAAATGTTTGTGTACTCATATAGTGTGAAATCCATCAAGACAAGGCATTTCAGTTGAACATCTGTTGTTTTAACAGGAATGATCCATGTGTGAAATGTATAGTACCTTTCTGAAAAAATCTCTAATACCCCAAAGATTAAGGCAATAGGAAAAGGCCTGTAAAAAATCAGAATGCTAATTAGCTTGTTTTCATCTCACTGACGTTTACTTTTTTTTTTTTTTTTTATAAAGGAGACTATATTTCTGTTAGCAATCCTGAAGGTAACTTCAAGAAGTCACAGGTTCAAACTTCAGAAGATCTCTTTTTATTGGCGGCAGGCACAGGCTTCACACCAATGGTTAAGCTGCTGAACTGTGCTCTGACTGAAGTCAGTTGCCTCCGGTATGCACGCTTCTTATGATTTAACCGCAAGCTAGAGTAATACATAGGAAAGATGAAACATAGTGGGCAAGCTTCAGTGTTAATAAAACAGTTAACAAAATAAAATGGTATGAAAGCATTTTTTTTCAACTTATGCCAAAAGCTGGCATGCTTTTAGGAAGAACCTGTCAGAGTCTTAGGGAACTTACACATATTTGGTTATTGGTTACAATCAACAAAATGGACTGATTTGCATTTTCGATTTGAGTTGTGGTACAAATGAGCCCAAGTAGAAAGTCTGAGAGGTGTGGATTGTTTTTTTGTTTGTTTGGGGGTTTTTGAGTGTTTGTTTTGGGGTTTTTGTTTTGTTTTTTTGCTTGGTTGTTTGGGTTTTTTGTTTAAACTAGCTTTGCGTTTGGGTGCCTTTTTTTAGCATTGAAATATTTCAATGTAGATAGTGTTTTTTGGACTGAGGAGGCTTACAGCTGTTTAGTTATGGCTTCTCTTTAATCTGTTAAATAGCTAGCATACTTCATACTTTTATATTGTTTTCACCTGCTAAGTAACAGTAACATGTTTTTACCAGATGGATTTCAGTTTTCATCAAAGTATGACTTACATAAGCATGGCATTAAGTATATTCAGATACGTAAAAAGGTGTGTATTGCATATGCATTGTGTACTCCTCTTGTAAAATCTACAGAAGGAAGCATTACTTGTTCTTGGTCAAGTGAACAGGTTGTTTTGACCCCTTAAGTCCTTCAGAACCCCAGAACTAGTACTTCTGCTGGATGTGATAGGCCATTTAGAACTGTAAGAGCTCAACTTTACAAGGAAATGCAGAGAGTTACTGTAAGGGCATACTTTGATAGAGGTGATGTGTGCTTGCATTGCTTTTAGCAAAAATCTTCCTCTAGAATCACATCTTGCAGAATTTCTTAGCAGATTACATTTTTGTCAATGTGAACTATTGTCATTTGGGAGAGTATAAAAATGAAAAAATATACCTGAACTGGATTTGGTGCAGAGGACAGTTCAACAGACTTGCTGCTGTTTTCCTGTACCTTTGAATCTGGACTCAGGAGATAAATTTCTAATACTGAGTTTTATTCAATATAAGCACGGGATGTTTTGGTTCATTATGCTGACATAAAGCAAATTTTGAGACAACATAGATTAATTGGACACTAGTCTTCATAGTAAAGCTAAAAATGATGACATAGTCTGCAGAAGTGTGTTTCTAGGAAAAAAAAAAAATCTAAACCCAGACATTTTTCTTGTATTGTTTATTGTTCAGCAATTACATATAATCCTATTCTGTGAGCAGAGAGACTGTGTACTGTTTGGCTCTTCCAAAGCATCCTGTATTGTCATTAGTGAATAACAAGTGGTTGGCTGGCTTTGTGAATCCAAAATGTAAATCTGTGATCTGGCAAATGCTTGGGAAGCACTACTAAGTGAACTTGGAATTAATCTTTTTTTTTTTTTTTTTTTTTTTTCATCTTGAGGGGAAAATTAGTATGTCAGGTAAAGGTAGTTGTGATAACATGAAGGCAAAACTAAGGAGAGCATAGTAAGAAATGCAAATCTCAACATTTTGTCCATAACCAGAATAAATGGGGTAGATGAAGTGTGTAAGACTACTACTGCACAGATAGTGTTTACTCTGTCCTTGAAAGATGACCAGAGTGGCTTATTTTAATTCTGTTCAGCACAATTTCTTATGGGAACTCAATGCTTACAGTTAGCTTAGGATGCAACAACATCTGTTTTCTTACTAGTCAAAGTAAATTAATTTTTCCTTCTCACCGTGGAGGCTTGTTAGGCACTGGAATGACTTGATCTGGTACCAGTTCTGTTTATATGCAGACACTTAAAGCTCTGTTTTTCTGACTGCTCTAGGCAACTTAGTTTCTTGGCCTTATATTTGCTCTTTAACCCTCGCTTTCTCTTTTGGGAAAATATTACAAGAGTGTCTTTAATAAATATGTGTGTGTAAATATATATATGCATTTATATATACTGTTTATATAAATGAGATTATATATATAAACAATATAATTTGCATGAAATTACGTTACTGTGAAAAATAATGATTGCTGCAAACTTGGACTGCGCACGCTAGAACCCGAATTGCAGAAAGTTGAGGAAGGAAGAGAACGACTGACTTGTCACCTGAGGGCGCAGAAGCAGCCTCTGTCTGTAGTGCTGGGCCAGCGCTGCTGAATCTCTGGGGCTGCACTGTGAAAGCTGGAGAAACCACAGCTTCCTTAGGCAGCGTTTGCTGTGATGTAGTAGGCTTGGATCGTTGGATCTCCATGCTTACTGTCTAGCCAAAGTGTCCCTATTATCTTTCAAGTCTGTTGTTTCTTGCCTGTGGTAAATGTGGAAAACAATTTGTTCTCTTCCTGTCTTCAGTATCCTTTTGTGCATGAAATCATAATACTCTTCCTTCAGCCTTGTTTCTTCTCTTACAGACCAAACTGTATTTGGCTAAAGTATTGATTTACCAAGAATATCTACCTCTATGCTGCTTTTTAAGATGAGATTTTTGCTCCTTTTTACTGGGGGTGTGTAACTTCAATCAGGTAGATATGTTTTTAAAGAAGACTGAGGCACAAAGACACTAAACACTAGGTAGAGGGCTAGCACTCTTCTCAAGTAAGTATAGGATGCTTGCAGTCTATTCTTGATTCTCTTTCATAGTTATATCTTCTTTTGTCTCCAGCCTTTAATTCCTAAATTCCTACTCCATTATCATACTCACTCTTAATATAGTGTCTCACTTTTAATATAGTGTCCCACTTCAGTCAGCCTCATTTTGAAGGTGATTTTGTAACTTTTTCTATCTTCTCTTCCTCTGTGTTAAAATCCTCTGACTTCTCTCTCTGTACAGCTTTCCATAAGACCTTGAATACCAGTTGAGTTTATTAAAATCTACATCCCTTGAAGTAGTTTCCCATATGTTAGATTCTCCCTATTTCCTTACAAAGGGCTGATGAAGTTTCTTATTTGTTATCTAAACTCATCATCTTTAACTAATGTCATCATTTTCTAAACCAGCTCTTCTGTACTGGTAAGGATCATATCTAAATCTCCACCTCTTCCTTTTAGCTGTTTCCTCCCTCGTTTCTAGCAAAACTGTTACCAGTTCATTCCAAGTCTTGGTGTCTTCTCTTTATAGTGCTGGGTACTGAGCAGTACTGGAGCAGATACATTTATTTACACTGGGGAGTATCAGTAAGGGTGTGTCAAAGCATTGTTCTCCAAATAACCAATTTATACCTTTGTGCCCAATGAACAAAACACATGGCTTTCCTATGCACTTTTTATTGACTTTTTTCCCCACCCGAGACACACCTGATGCTGTGGTGTGCCGTACCAGCTTTGACAGTACTAGATTCTTGAAGTGAGCTTTATTTTCCATGTTTTCAGGGAAGTGGGCCCTGGGAAGTATGTAAGGAACCTAGATTTTTGACACATGCTAGTTTCTGAATAAGATGATTTTAGTATTTAAAGATGCAGCATAGCTGATTTGCGGCTAATTTCTTCTATAGAAGGCACGTTTTCCAAAGCTTGTATGTTGTAATTCATTTTGAGTTGTAATGCATCTGGAACTTTTTTCTCTCAATAACACTACTGATGATTTGTATTATATACAACAGTCATACCTCAGTTTTTTATTTTGGCAGCAGAAAATGAACTTGCTTCTCATAACTAGAAGTTGATCTCTTACCTTTGGCATCTAATGTAGCTTGTAAGAGATTTCCTAGTATCTTGAAATGCTACCAAACTGCAGAAGGGAAAAGGTTAGAAGTCAGAAAAATGTGCTGTCTTCAGACTGGGAGAATACAGGCTTTTAAATTGCAGTTGAAGAGCAGCTGGAGATGATGAACTCTCCACAGAAGCCCTAGGATGTGTGATATGCATGTGTGAAAGATGGCTCTCTGCAAGGTACAGAGGAGGAGGTGATGGCAATTAACGCTTTCAGCGCAGCATCACATAAACACTCTGTGTCTAGCGGGCGTCTCTTAGAAGCGAGGTCGGCCACATGTGAAAGGGGCACTGGGCAGTGGAGTGCCCTGTTATGGAACGGGAATTGCAGGGCTGTGTGGTGTGCAGGACCAGCAGGCTTAGCCGACAGGTACCCATGTGGTTCTGCACATGTTTCTGTGCCAGGATCCCAGTGCTCCCTCTTCCTGCAAGTCGGGCACTGAACTCGCTTCTGGCACCGCAGCAACGTGTGCTCTCTGCTCAGAGCTGTGCCTGAGGAGGAAAAATAACAGTCACTGAAAGCCTTGTGGGGTGCAGGTCAGGAACTGCTTGTATTTAACAGCACATCATCTGTTGTGTATCAGTTGTCCCCAGGGGATTAGTCTGTCCTTAGCAATAAAGGAGAAGTTAGGTTTATGTGGCTTCATCAAATGGTAAATTCTGTTTTGTAGAGTCATTTTTTTTGGTGTGTTTTACCTCCACTGTAGCATAAAAATCTGAAGAGATAATAGCACTGACCTTAATGACAGTTCACATAAAATAAATGCTCTATTTGGCAAATATAGCACTTGTAAACAGTAGCTTTCCAGGTAAATAGATTTTATAAATCAACAACTAAAGTAGGAATAGATGCCGTGGTACAGAGCTGTAGTTTGCTCTTCAAGTTATGAGTTAATTTTCTATGTGTTTAGATTCCATCTTTGTGAAATTAATATTGGCATAACCTTCTTGAAATTCCAGTTTCACCTGCACAAGCTGGTGTATGTAATATCAAAAAAGGTATGCCAAGTTAATCTACCAGCTATTAATTGAAGTAGTTGTGCTCAAACAATATTGATAAACCACTAGATAAAACTTGACAAGCTATATTGTAATTTCAGTCAGGTTACTAACTTCAAGAGACTTTATTTTTCTTAGGAAGAAGTTGCAACCACAAGCAGGGTTATGACATTTAGAAGAGAGGTCACAAGTTCAACAGATTTGCAGGTACAACGAGAAAGAAACTATATATGGTTAGTGGCAAAAAGATTTGAGGATTGCAGAGTTGCACAAAAACAAACAAACAAACAATATAAGTTAGAGGCTTCTGAATAATGCAGAATGTTCTGATTTTTTAACATGTTTCAAATACAGAAACAATCTGCAGTTTATTTGTTATTTATTTATTTTAAGGACAGTGAAGCTGATCTTCTTCAACAAAACAGAAGATGACATACTTTGGAGAAACCAACTGGAGCAATTAGCTCTTAAAGATGAAAGGTATTTAAATGTATTGTGGACAAGTTGTACCATCCCAGTATTTAAATGTATTGTGGACAAGTTGTACCATCCCAGTATATAGGAGACCAAATCTTGGGGCTTAGAGGAACTGTACAACTTTGGCACAAAGACAGATCCTGATTCTGGAAACTCATAGCTAAGAATTTAATGAGACCTAGGGAGTGGAAGGAGATGTGCTTATATTGGTCACAGACGCATAGCAGCACACTATGTCATTATATTTTGTAGGTCCCACAGGAAGCTAGGGATTTGATTTGACAGCATTTAGTAGATGTTTATTGGAGATGATATGTTAGATGAGAATATTGTTAAGACTCTCTGAGAAGCTTTTTGAAGGTGAAGAAAATTAGCCTTAACAAGAGAAAATACAGATATGTAAAGAGAAGCATGGAAGTGATGAAGGATAGGGTACGCTGGGAACAACGTTCTGAGTTTAGAGAAGTCTTGAAAAGTCTCTTTGGTGTTACTTAGTTGAGAAAATGTTTATCTGGAAATTCAAAGTTTAAATTAGGCCTGTTACTTTTGTATTTACTTACTGTCTAGTTGTTCCGTTGTTTTGGGTTTTTTTGGCTTTTTTTTTTTTTTCTCTCAGTTACAATGTAATTGCAGGTTAGAATTGCACTAGTGCACATGTAATGTCAACTTAGTTTGGCCATAGTTCTGTCAGAAGGTATAGGAATATCAGGTTGCCTTTTAATTTCAATACCCTTGCTTTTGTCACTAGATAAATTGTCACTGCCTAGATTTTGCATGCTAGAAGTACATTTTGTTTATGCTTCCTTAAGTCTTAGTGGAAATTGTATGAACAAATGAAATTCACTTGTTCCTTTACAACATTCAAGTGAAGAATCAGTGTTATTTCATAACCTGGTGATGTCTGGCACATTCAAAGCTTCATAGTCTAGACATTGTGCAAATTTGCAGTAAAAACCCTTTTTTCCCTTTCAATAGGAGCCTCAGATACACAACTGCTTGGATTTTACTCAATTACTACTCTGTTAGTGAGTTTTTGAAACCATTTACAGTATCTTCTCATTAGTGAAATTGTACTGACATTTTCACAAGTTTGGCTAAGCATTCTTATTTCACTGCTTGCGTATTGAGCTACACCAATGTTTGTATAAATGAATAACGGAACAGTGAAATCTGTGCTTTAGTATCTTAATTCATACCAGCTGTTTTTATTTGTAAGGTGAAATATACAGCTACATTTTTTAAGACTGAATGATTGGGTTAAATAATTAAATACACAATACTGGAGGTGATTTGATTGACTTTATTGGTAGGAACAACTCAATGTCTGTGAGATCTGATACTGTGTAGTGGGAGCTGAACACAACAGGAAAGGTAATCATAGTGTCTCAGTCACTACCATTTTGTGTGGCACATTTCTTAATCAGAGGCAATGTTTATGAAATATTCTTCTGCTTACCAGGTTTGAGGTTCAATTCATTCTTTCACAACCAACAAAGGACTGGGTGGGTAAACAAGGGAAGATTTCTTCATCTCTTCTCTCTGAGTCTGTGAAAAGAAGCAAAAAAGACTCCAAAGTGCTTATCTGCATCTGTGGTCCGACACCTTTTACAGAACAGGGAGTACAGTGAGTATTGTAAATGATGAACTCAAGAACAAGGAATTTTTAAAACTTTGATCACCTAACCAGCTGTAGTGTTGTAAGGCTGTTTTTGAAAGACTACGGTTTTCTGCTTTGCAAGAAAACGTAAGAAAAAAGTAAAAAACCACCTGGCATCATACTTGAGGAGTATATTTAGTGTGTAGCTAAGTAAATATCAGCAATATGTAAATTTCATGAGCTCTCATAAGTTGTCCAAAATTTTCTAAGGGCATCTCTTTAACAATGACCTTTTTTCCCCAAGGTTTAAATGCTGCTTTTACTTTGATGTTCATAGAAAAGTTGCTATAACAGGAAATAAGATTTCTGTGTTGGTGTTAGCTTGACAAATTAAGTTATAAAAAGTAAAATTCAAAGCAGTTATTCTATCACAAGCAATTCTCTCAGATTTTTTTTTTTAATGCATTTATTTATGTCTGTATCTAATACTTTCCTTATTTTATATGCCATATATTTAAAAATAAAAGGTCCTCTACGTTTCTCTTGCCCTGCTTCAAAATATTGAATCAATATGGACAACACTTGCATTTTTGCAGCCCTACTGAAGTCAGGTGCATGGATCTAATGGAGGGTTGAATTGGTTAATAATTATGCTACCTCTTGAGAAATCTGAGCTAATTCAAAGAACTGTATTTATTTTTAGAGATTTTTTCAGTACTTTAAGAGATCGTGTAGTACATATGAGCTCCTGGGCATAAATTGTTCTCTAAATGCATTTGCAAAGGTAAACTTGATTGTGTATGTCTGAATAAAAACAAGATAGTGGCACTGAAGTTATGCTTCAGCTGTGTCTGTGGTGGGGTTTGGGTTACAAATATTAATATTACCAACTTGATTTCTGACTTTCAGATACCTGAAGGATCTTGGATACTCCCAAGAAGAGATACATGCTTTTACCGCATAAACTGTTATGAGGATATCCATGTTTGTTTGTATAATGAATTTTATTTATTTTCCTTCATGAATTTAAATAAGTGAATGGCGATTTTGTAAGACTTGAAATTTCACTCTTGGTACCAAACTGTTTCTTGGAAGAAATATATCTTTGAAAAAAATTTATACTGTGTTTTATCTTGGTTTTGTAAATATTTTTGCTAATACTTAAGTCATCCAGGGTATTAATTTATTGTAAAGGTAAGCAAAAATGTATAGTATACATTATGTAAGATATTTCATGTTGTTGGTTCATGAGACTTCTTAAATTTATGACAAGCACTGATTTAGGTTTTGATTTGAAAAACTTATTATTTCTTACTGTAAAAAGTCTTAAGAGCAATACCATCTGAAATTAAATATTGCACTGTAACTCAGGTAACCGGTCATTGAAAATGTTCTTTTTCATGTGATATCTTTATTTGACTTGCAAGTGATTCAGATACATTTTTGGCTTTGTAAGCAAAGAATAAAAGTACCTTTGGTAAAATATAAAATTGATGTCATATAATTAAAAAATAATAATTTTACATTACTTCATGCATTTTTGTAAATTTTTTGTATTTTCAGTTTATCGTGTCGTACAGAAGGGTTTGCACAAGCTCAGGACACCAGCTGAGAACTCAGAACAGTGTCACAGAGTCTGTCTCCCACAAAACTTTGGTTGTGACCTTACTGGTATCAGGCATCCTTTATCATGAGACATTCTGAGGGTAAAAACGTGACAGCTGGTGGCCTGCAGACACCTGAGTAAGGACCACCGAAGCACCTAAATATATTTGGCAGGTTGCAGTAGTATTAAAGGAGGTTATTTGAACCAGTGGGGATATTTTACTCCATTATTAAAAGAGTGTTATCATGAGGCAGCAATCTGCTATCTAAGAGTAGTTTGGAGAAACAAGCAGCAAAGCAGCTTACCCCCCTTCTAGATTTTGTCAGTAATATCTGTAGGCATTGTTTCATATGACATCTAGTACTGTTTACATCCTCCTGTTGTGTTGAATACATATTTCTCTGAAGAAGAAGCCAGACTTCCCGTTATGGCATTAATACTTCAGCATTCTTGAAAAATGTTTTAATAATTCCCTTTAAAAAGGTTAAATTGCTATCTGACAGTGACTGGCTGTGCTAAACTGAGCTGTCAGCTCTTCAGTGCCCTCTCATTTATTGGACTTGAAGTTAAAAAAGGATCTGATTGTCAGTCATTGCCCATAGGTTACAAGTTACTTCAGAAGAGACAGTGGTACTGTCATCATTTTGTCATCTAGAAGCATCTAAATGTTTTCAGTTATAATTTTGCAATGCATTATTTGTAGAGATTTGTATTACAAAGGTCTAAACAGGTTTCTCTTCCACTGAGCAGAAGCATCAGTGCTATCCTGGAAAAAACAACGCTCTCATTTAATTTTATTATTTTTTCCGTGACAAACACAAGATTAATGTGGTGATTTCAAAAACTGCATCTTGGTGTTAATGACTAAACCTTACATATTCTGTAGGATACTGAGGAATTTCTCATGTTCCCATCACCCAAGATCTGATGGGATGGTCTCCTGGGTAAAAGAATTTCATTTAATGCCTCACTCTCGGAATTTTTGGTTTTAACAGGTTATTTTGCCCTTTGTGCTTTGATTGTCCTTATCTGCCTTTATCCAAAAGGACAGAAGAAAGAAAATAAAAGTGTTTTGGATAAGTAACTGTTGTGACACAGTACATCAGTGACTTTGTCCTTTGCATTAGGACATAGGTCAAATGTGTCAGTAGATGATGAGTTCTCAAAGGCTTCATGCAGTCCAGGTGGTGATCATGGATGTGTTACTTCAGAGTGGGTCTAGAACCTTGTGAAGTCTGCAGTTAGGGTGCATCCACTTTAGTTTCTGAAATTTTGTTTCCAATCTGGAGTACTATTAGTAATTGCTGTTTGTAGTTGCAGCTTGAAGTACATTGTGCTCTTGGAGGTTTTAGGACTGTCATCCTGAAGCAAGGAAGACCGTGACACGATGGGTTATGTTCAATGTCGTAAGGCATGTGGATCTTAAATATCTTAAATATGAAGCAAGGAAAGCAACAAAATGGGTAGCTGCCCTTGCTAGTCCAACAAGATGCTGAGTGCAGATGTGTTCTGCTGTGGTGGTTCTTCCAGGTCAGATCTTCATGGGGTTGGAGTAAACTTTGTGGATCTTGGACTGCCTCTGTCCAAGGGAAGAGAGGAATCTTATTTTGGGGGCTTGATGAAATTGTATTTTTCCTGGAAATATTAATACTCAATTTAAAAATGAGTAATAGTGAGATGCTGATGTTGCTGATAGCAAAAGAAGACTGTGACATGCGAAAGAGACGTTCCTCAAGGTCTCAATTTGCAAATGTTTTACCTTTCAGAAACTTTTGAACGGTTGCTGTTGGTAGTTGGTTGCTGATGCATTCATTGTCAGTCACTGTCAAGCACTGAATTGAAAAGTACTTCTGTTCATAATAAAAATGGAATATCAAAATCTGGCCTAGTAAAGGGGAGGGTCTGGAGATTCCTGCATGAGATCATCCATGAATCAACATGAAGTTATTCGGACCAGTCCAGTGTGGGGATTGCATTGCACTGGGGGAGAGAAAAGGGCTGATGATCCTGAGGTGCAACATGTTGAGCATTAAATAGTGAGCAAGTATCTACTTTCTTTTGGGATGATCGTAGAATCACAGAACGGTTTGGATTGGAAGGGACCTTAAAGACCATCTGGTTCCAGCCCCCCTGCCCCGGGCAGGGCCCCCTCCCCCCAGCCCAGGGTGCTCCCAGCCCCATCCAACCTGGCCTTGAACCCTTCCAGGGAGGGGGCAGCCACAGCTGCTCTGGGAAACCTGTGCCAGTGCCTCACCACCCTCACAGGAAAGAATTTCTTCCTTCTATCTAATCGAAATCTACCCTCTCTCAGTTTAAAGCCATTGTTCCTTGTCCTATCACTACATGCCCTTGTAAAAAGTCCCTCTCTGGCTTTCTTGTAGGCCCTTTAAGCACTGGAAGGCCACTATAAGGTCCCCGGCGGCTTCTCCAGGCTGAATAACTACAACTCTCTAGCCTGTCCTCACAGGGGAGGTGCTCCCGTCCCCTGATCATCTCCGTGTCCCTTCTGGACCCACTCAAGCAGGCCCATGGCCTTCTTATGCCGGGGGCCCCACAGATGGACCCAGCACTGCAGGTGGGGTCTCATGAGAGTGGATGAGGAGAATCCCCTCCCTCGGCCCGCTGGCCACATTTCTCTTGATGCAGCCCAGGATGTGGTTGGTTTTCTGGGCCGAGAGCACGCATTGCTGGGTCACGTTGAGCTTCTCATCAAACAACACCCCCAAGTCCTTCTCCGCAGGGCTGCTCTCAATCCAGTCATTGCACAGCCTGTCTTTGTGCTTGGGATTGCTCTGATCTGTGTGCAGGACCTTGCACGTGGCCTTTTTGAACTTCTTGAGGTCAAATAGAGTTGTCAAGTTATCTTTTTTAAGTAATACAGAACTAGTATTCTTATTCAGTGCTTCATACTTTGGTATTTTGACTGTCACATATTATAATCAATTAGTGTGGATAACTTAATTCTCTTTTTTTGTTGAAGTGTTTTTTTTTTTTTTAATATATCTACACTACAATTGTGTTGTGGTGGCATCTAGTTCTCAACAAGTACCTAAGGTTGTCTTGCAGCTTCTGGTGCTTACATTCTGTGGGATTTTATTACAGAGGAAGAGATCAATACTTTCTGGAAGTTAAAAAACCCCGCATACTTATATCCAGTATTTGTAACTGATGTTTCCCTAGCTAGATTGTCAGCCTCTGGTGTAAGTTTTTAAGAATCTGCACATCTCTGAGGATGCAACATGTTAATTTCACCCAAAATAGGGGTTTTCTTGTCCTGTACTGATACAACTTTCAGTTCTTTAGTATTGGTTCAGTGACTTACGTCGTTGAAATTGAATGGATCTTCTCATAAGATAAAGGTTAAAATGACCTGTACAATAAGTTTGTACTCAGCAAAATGATACACTATCCAGCTTCTGTTGAAGCTGGCCTGCAGATTCAGAGCTATTGAATGAGAAGAGCAGAGAGGGAATAAGCTCTCCTGTGCTGTGCAGAGATGGACCAGAAAAGAGCTACATTTTCCTGGGAAATAAGTAGATGATGACATCAGAAGAATATCCTCCTGTTACCTGGTTAATGTCAGATAAACATTCTATTGAACTGATGTTCTGTGCCACCTCTGTATGGTGGTTCACCAAGAAGCAACCTCTTTTTAGTTTTCTGAAAGGAAATTTAAAACATTTCTCAAAAGGCACTGGCTTAATTACTGTGTTGTCAGGGTCAAACAGGGAACTTCTATGGAAAATCATTTATGGGGAAAAAGGGATACCTGCAGTCTCCCAGCTCTTTCTTTGGAACATATTATTGGATAAACTATTCATGTAATTTGTTACAGTTACAGCTGTAGGTAGGTATTTTGTGTAATTAAAATAGCAGCTTGAGGAAGTAAATACTTGAGTACAATATATTATTAATTCTGCCAAGACATTATTCATAAAATATTGACATTTGTCCACACATGAGAAACACGGAAAATACAATAGTTAATACAGTGTTTATATTGCATTTTGTTGTTGAAGACACAGATTGAAATCCCAATTAGACTTTGTAGTCCCTTTGTAAGACTGCTTTATAGCTAGCTGCTGCATGCTGCTGATAGTGAAAAGGGGTGATAAATTGTAACAATTATTTGCCAGTTGTATTTTTAAAAACTCAGCTTCTTGGGTTTTGTTGCCTTTAGTAGTAAATGTGAGGAAAACAATTGCTTATAGGAAAATCCAGTTTGCAAATATATCAGTTCTAATTCTGAAATGTTTACATGTTCAAAGACTGATTAAAACAAGGTCGGAGGAGCCAATGTGAAGTGGCCTAGTTGATCATTTCTCTGCTGCAGCTCAAGGAGATGTTTGATTGTTCATTAAGAAATAATTGTTTATAGAAAAGCATCCTTAATAAAACCACCTGGTAAATATAAGGAGTTTGAAATCATTCAGTAGGTCTTCATTAACAAAAAGCCACATTCCAATATTTTGTTTACAGAGTGTTTATTATTTCACTGCATCAGTTCTGAGACTTTTGGAGGAGATTCATTACATAGTACAGTGGAAAAATTTGCTCTACTGACTCTTCCCATGCAGTTTTTTTTTTTTCTGAGTGAAATTGATTTTGGGGAGAAGCCAGAGAAACCTCCAAGTAGGTGTATCTTTTATCATACTAACCCTTAGCTCTTTTTCTAGAAAAATTCCTGCATTACAAAACTGTGCAACACCCACCTTCTTTTAAAAGTCAGTTGTAAACTTTATGTGTCAGTGACCTCTTAACATCAGTGGCTCACACTGCTTGCAGCTGAAATAAACAATTTCTTTTCCTCCCTCACAAGAAGGTATATTATCGATATCTTGGAAATACATCTTCTGCCCTTTACATCAGATTGCTGCATCCTGGTTTTGAAGTTTTAGAAACCAAGCAACCACAACCAAACT